CCCCCAGTTATCTCAGCGCTAGGATCATTTGTGTGTGTGCTCCTCTTTGCACGTCCGACTTAAGATAAAGCGGTGACTCTTTGAAGTGCCTAGTAGGACTGGTCTTCATTTCTGTGTCGCTGAGTGACGTTGTCATTCCTATTTTTGCGTAGTCTCCCCTCTTCCCATTACTCTGTATTAATTATATTTCGCCAGAGTGGCTCCTAGTAGTTGCTAGTACATGGACAAGCTCGTCATATGACCAAACCATTTCATCAGACGGCTAACTCTCCACAGAAGGGGGCGCTACTCCAAACAACAGAATCAGCCATACAGAGTTCAGACGGCAACATAGAGAAGTCTCTCGATAATGAAATCGGTAACAACTTGAAGATACAAATGATATCACGGTTTTATCATTGAGCTGTTAACAAGATAGTAAGTAGGAATTGTTTATTGACAGTCAATACACATGTCTACAAAAACAATCTGTAAATATAGAATATAATACTATAGAGAAGATTATAATAATACTACAGAGATCAGCAACTTAAACTTAAGGGATCCCACTGAAGGGGACTCTATTCTCACTGTCAAAAAGTACTGAATCTGAGCCGACAAGTTACATAACAATCATAACGGCTAACTGGCATAGGGAATAAGTGGTGGTGCGTTGACGGCTATAAGTACTTATTATATCATCATGTTGTTTTCTCGATAGCTGAGCAGTTAATTAAAGCGATTTTTAAAAATCTAAACTATAGATTTTCCACATAGCCACAAACTAATTAAATGGATTATTAATTGATGTAAAAAAAAATAAAGCAAAAAATATATATTTTTTGGCTCTCTTCTGAATGATGGATCTGAATGATCACGTTTTAAAATATACCCTAACAGAGCCTCACTAGGTAATGGACTGGAAATATATAAAAAGTGGTACTGGTGGCAGTGTTGTAATTGTAATACTCGTTACCCTAACCCTAAACCTAGGACCCAGGGGAGAAGTTAAACCTAGGACCCAGGGGAGAAGTTGAACCTAGGACCCATGGGAAAGGTTAAACCTAGGATCCATAGGAGAAGTTAAACCTAGTACCCAGTGAAAGAGTTCAACCTAGGACCATGGGAGAAGTTAAACCTAGGACCCAGGGGAGAAGTTAAACCTAGGACCCAGGGGAGAAGTTGAACCTAGTACCTAGGGGAAAAACCTAGGACCCAGGGGAGAAGTTAAACCTAGGACCATGGGAGAAGTTAAACCTAGGACCCAGGGGAGAAGTTAAACCTAGGACCCAGGGGAGAAGTTAAACCTAGTACCTAGGGGAAAAACCTAGGACCCAGGGGAGAAGTTAAACCTAGGACCATGGGAGAAGTTAAATCTAGTACCTAGGGAAAAAACCTAGGACCCAGGGAAGAAGTTAAACCTTGGATCCAGTGTCGGAGCTGATGGTCTGCCTGCTATATTTGCTGGAAATGAAACATAATTTTACATATCAGTGAGGTCCTGTTAGGGTATGTTTTTAAATGCAATCATTCAAACTAGTTATTCTGAGGCGTGCCTATTTTTTTAATATTCAGGTATGTTGTGTGCTAAATGAGTCAGCACACTACCAAGTGTCTTAGCAGGTACTCTTCCGCTTCCTCTCTTAGAAATAGAATTCAACGACGATGACACCGTCATACATGTTTATTTAACAAGATACATGACAAATGCAGAGACGTTATTGATCACAGCTGACTATACAAGACACAGTACCATAAAACCATTCTTGTTGGTGACTTCAACGGACACTCGCCACGTTGGGGTTACCCTGACTACAATAGCACAGGGAAATACATCGAAGATACTTGTGAAACAACTAACCTATTAGTGCTGCAGGACACAGAGTCTACACCTACACTGTTACACAGGGCCCACCTATCTCTCAGCAGACCAGACCTGACCATCTGCTCATCCGACTTAGCAGACGCAAGCTATCCCCAAGTCCTGGACGACATAGGAAGTGACCACAAACCTATACTCACAACTGTAAGCACCACCGCTAAATTACACTTCAAGCAGAGAACCTGTTGGAATTTCCGAAAAGCAAACTGGAAACTATTTCAGGAAACATCTGACTGCCTCCTGGAAAGAATTGACAACAGCTGTGTGGAAACTTTTTGTGAAGACATAACACAAGCGATCCTGAATACAACGTCGAAAGCCACCCCAAGGGGCAGCTGGAAGGCATATAAACCTTTTTGGAATAAAGAAATTCAAAATACTATATCTGAAAGGAATAAAGCAAGAATATTGCTCGAAACTGCACGTTCAACAGAAGCAAAGATCCAATACAATAAAGCATGTGCCAGAGTAAAGCCTGTAGTTAATAAGGCTAAAAGAGATCAATGGACAGAAACTTGCTCCATCTTAGACCTTAGACAGAATGGAAATAAAGCATGGACTTTAGTTAAAAACCTCTCAGGAGAAAGTAGAAGGGTGAACCCAAAACCAGTGACAGATGGGAGTAAGACAATCACTGAAGACAAGAAGAAAGCAGAATATTTCAATCATTATTTTGCCTCAGTTAACAGAGCAGGTAAGCTGTCAGAACTCAATAGAACACAGCTCTCTCAGTTGAAGAAACAAGAGAGAGCTCCAACAGCCAGCGACTCCCTTTTTGAAATTGAATTTAGCATGGAGGAATTAGAGCAAGCCCTGAAGAAATTAAAACCTAGAAAATCCCCAGGCCCAGATAAGATCCACAACGAAATGCTGCTACATCTTGGCCGGTCTGGGAGAGAAGTAGTTCTCAGGCTTATTAATAAAACTTGGAAGTCAAGCAAACTTCCAAAGGCATGGAGGAATGCATATATCGTCCCCGTTCTTAAAACCAAAAAGCCTCCAGATGACCCCAAAAGCTACCGCCCGATATCCTTAACATCATGCTTGGGCAAAGTTGCAGAAAGAATGATAAACAGGCGCTTATATTGGTTCCTTGAGAGTTCTGGTGTTCTATGCCATGAACAGGCAGGCTTCAGAACCAACAGCTGCACAGAAGACCAGCTGTTCAGACTGACACAAAGAATACCTGATGGCTTCCAGAATAAGAAACACACAGTGGCAGTCTTTGTCGACCTCCAGCAGGCCTATGACAGAGTATGGAGAAAAGGTCTCCTGATGAAGATGATGAGCATAGGAATACATGGCAGATTGTATAACTGGGTGAAATACTTCCTGATAGATAGAACAATCCAGACTAAGATGCACAACGCAATCTCTTCTAAAGAAGTCTTGGAGGAGGGATTGCCACAAGGCTCATCATTGAGCTGTACACTATTCCTAATCTTTATCAATGACCTGCCAGAACAAATCAAGGCCGAAAAAGCCTTGTACGCTGATGACCTAGCAATATGGCAGAGTGATGAAAATGTGGAAAGTGGAGCCCAAAGACTGAATGGAGACCTTAGAAGACTGCATGAGTACTGCCAAGAATGGAAACTCAAGGTTAACTGTGCAAAGACGGTCTACACAATCTTTACCAAGAGCTACCAAGTAGCAAGGAAGAATATTAACCTGAGGTTAGACAAACACCAAGTGATGAAAGAAGAGCATCCCACATACCTTGGAGTCACACTTGACAGGCAGCTCAGCCTCAAGAACCATATTGAAAACGTCAAGAATAAGGCATTGAGGCGGTTACAGTTATTAAAGAGACTTGCAGGTACATAATGGGGATCAGACAAGGAAACTCTGAGGGGCTTTAGGATATGTTCGCTCTGTGATAGAGTACAACAACTCACTGCTCCAAAACTAACCTAGAGACTCTTGACAGAGTACAAAATAATGCCCTCCGATTAATCTGGGGAGCTATTCAGTCGACACCAACTGCTGCATGTGAAATCCATACAAATGTGGAACCCCTCAGGTTGCGGAGAGAAAAAGCCACTTTAGAAATTTATGAAAGATGTGTTAGGAAAAATCGTAACCATACTAATAGACATCTTGTAGAAAACTGGGAATACAAACAAAGAATAAAGCACAAATCGGTTTTACACTGTGTTAATGAAATTCAGGACAGATACCACCTCCCAGAAAGACCTCAAGGAATTCAGAATGTTGCAAGAAACCTACCACCACATGCTCGCTTTAAAGCTCCAGAAGTCCGATTTAAATTGGTAGGCGAGGAAACCAAACAGTCCGACCCAATCGCTCTTATGTAGTAGTGTTTAATTTGCCTGTTGGTTTCAGTTTCATCTGTAGTAAAATACTTTTCTGAACTAACAAATCTGGTTTCTGTGCTAATCACATTCCACACAAATTGTCACTTTAAACTGTATCATCCTTTAATACTTATAACACTACAGTGCTGAGAAAAAAAAAAAAATGTATATATATATATATATATATATATATATATATATATATATATATATATATATACATACACCGTCGTCAAGCTAATGTCAAAGAATTGATTCCGAACAAGGCCACAAATAGTATTTGCTGGTATTGAATACCAGCATCTACGTACTAATAAGGTGCGCATCCAGCATGTTTAGAACTAATTATTTCTGACTGGAATGTGGCAGGGCAGACATACTAAATGTGCTGTGTTCTAGAGACTTTGAGACAAAAATAATGGACCACCTGTTGGAAATGGGTATTCAATGAGGACTAGCATGTAGAAACCAGTTGCGGGGCACAGACAGAAGATATGCCAGGCTACTCCGACTGGGTACGTTGAGCATGGAGACACTGAGTTGGCTGCTACCTTGGAGGATGGAGCATGAATGGCTCAGACCAGTGTGCTAGGATGTCGATGCGGACAACAAGTAACGAGAAATTCTCTTTAAAAGTATTTACTTATACATTGCATATTATTTCAAGTATGTTATTGTGTTTTGTTCACCATTCACCACCATATTGTTATTAAAAGTATACTCTTAATCTGGGATTAAACCCAGTGTTTTCTTTGTGTCCATGCTTCTGGTATACATGAATATTAATTGACAAATATAAATATCATGTATCTGTGTAGAATATGGAGACGGATCTGGAAGTGAAAAATGTCATCTCCGAGCTTCAGTCAGGCCACGGCAGTAGTCTGTATAGTGCTCTGATCATGATACGGACAACCCTCATCAAATCCAAGAATTCCTTGAGCCAGCTGGTTCAGATGGGTGCTGTTAAGTTGCTGGTGCAAGTTCTGGAAGATCGGCGGCGACATAAGAATCAGACAAAAACAACTGATATTGTGATGAGCATTTTGGCAAATTTGTGCTTGGAGGAGGATGTGAGGGAGCAGGTGAGTTGATTGTGTTTTTTGTGTGTGGTGTGCAAGCAATTGTGCACTTTGTAGTGTTTTTGGAGGCTAATTATGCACCTTGCTATGCTTTTCTTTGGAGGCTAATTATGCACTTTGTAATATTTGTCTTTGGAGGCTAATTATGCACTTTGTAATATTTGTCTTTGGAGGCTAATTATGCACTTTGTAATATTTGTCTTTGGAGGCTAATTATGCACTTTGTAATATTTGTCTTTGGAGGCTAATTATGCACTTTGTAATATTTGTCTTTGGAGGCTAATTATGCACTTTGTAATATTTGTCTTTGGAGGCTAATTATGCTCTTTGTAATATTTGTCTTTGGAGGCTAATTATGCTATTTGTAATATTTGTCTTTGGAGGCTAATTATGCACTTTGCTATGCTTTTCTTTGGAGGCTAATTATGCTCTTTGTAATATTTGTCTTTGGAGGCTAATTATGCACTTTGTAATATTTGTCTTTGGAGGCTAATTATGCACTTTGTAATATTTGTCTTTGGAGGCTAATTATGCACTTTGTAATATTTGTCTTTGGAGGCTAATTATGCTCTTTGTAATATTTGTCTTTGGAGGCTAATTATGCACTTTGTAATATTTGTCTTTGGAGGCTAATTATGCACTTTGTAATATTTGTCTTTGGAGGCTAATTATGCACTTTGTAATATTTGTCTTTGGAGGCTAATTATGCACTTTGTAATATTTGTCTTTGGAGGCTAATTATGCACTTTGTAATATTTGTCTTTGGAGGCTAATTATGCACTTTGTAATATTTGTCTTTGGAGGCTAATTATGCACTTTGTATTGTTTTTGATTGGAGGCTCATTATGCACTTTGTATTGTTTTTAGATGGCTAGGACTCACGAGCAGTAGCTACCGCATCTCCTGCAGCTTCCTTCATTTTATTTGCTCATGAGTCCCAGCCATCTAGTTTAGCCCCGCTTCACGCCGCGCATAGCGGCGTGGGAGATACTCGCAGCGGTGGCAGTAGTCCTCCGAAGTCCGCAATTGACATGTGACTGAGGCCCTGTTACAGTATATTTTTTCGGCCTCGATAATCTGGGACCGTTATTCTGAGGATAGCCGCACTTTGTAATGATTTTGTTTGGAGGCTAATTATGCACTCTGTATTGTTTATGTTTGATTGCTAATTATGCACTTTGTATTGTTTTTGTTTGAGTGCTAATTATGCACTTTGTAACTATAATATGTTGAGTTTGGTGACTGATATAATGAGAAGAAAGGGTGACAGGAAGGTTATTTGTTTTGCTTACAGAGATTTCCTTTACCTCATTGGGGGTACTAGTGAGCTTTGCTCATTCAAACTATGCAGTCATTAAATGCTGAATTTCACCTTTAAAAGTATGATTAGCATATTATATTGTTGTTTACAACGAGGCTGTGATATATGTTTGCCTTCTGGCCTAGCACCAGTAGCTCTAGTGATGATCCTCGGGGGGGGGGGGGGGGGGGGGGGGGTCTCAGAAAAAAAATTGCACTTGTGAAGGGAACAATGCAGCTGTGAAATGAGCTCATGCCCTTACACACGCTTGTTAGAGAACATTGAGTGTATTCTCTCTCCTCCACCCTCCCCCTCCCCTCTCCCAAACCTCCATGACAGTCTCGGAACACAGGAAGAATAGTGACACTGTTTCAGTGAAATTAACATAATGTGGAAAAGTGCGTGAAATTTTCTCTTCTGCTGCCTTTTATTTTTCTGTCCTCTCACTATCCAGCTAGATAAAATTATGCAGTTTGATTATTTATACATTCGTATCTTATCCTCAGGTTGTATGTTGTGACGGACTGTCTGTTATTGGTAAGTTCTACACATTATGAAGCCATGTCACATTTTATGACAAATTCTACTTTGACAGCGTCTGCCATAATACTACCTTTATACCAGTGGTTCTTAGTTATTTCTGCCCGACTCAGTCTGTGTTGAGTTCCTTCATACTTGAGTATTTATTTTGTTGAGGCTAAACTTCTTCTTCTTGTGATCACTTCCATTATTTACAGCAACATAAATTTTAGGTCCTCTATAGTTCCATACAACTTTGAGTGTGGTATTGACTCAATGGGCTTGCATTCCCTTCTCAGTGTGCTGTACAAGAGACAACCTTACAGGATATGTTCTGTGGTTTGTTTCCCCAGCTTAAGAAGAACCAAGTGGGTTAACAGCACACTGAAGTGTCACCTCAAGAAACTATCTTGGCTGTACACACACAAGGACATGCCAGGGTGAAAGGAAATGAAAGAGTCGACAGACTGGCCGTGTCTACAGTAGTTAGTAGAGCAAGAAGTATGGACAGGGTAGACATACTGAAGGCTCTGCGTTCCAGAGATATTGAGACAATGAAGTTAGAGATGATGAACCATCCTTTGGAAATGGGTATTAAAGGAGGGCTAGCATGCAGAAACCGGTTGCGGGGCAAGGAAGGAAGATAGGCAGACCAACTTCTACTGGGTACAGTGAGCATGGAGATGCTAAGATAGCTGCTGCTTTGAAGGACGGAGCACAAATGAGTCAGTCTTATTTGCTTCAATGTGTATACGGATAACAAGTATAGACTATAAAGAGGGAAACAAATCAGAAAAATTGCTGAAATTGTTAATGTTTCCATGATCCCTCAAGTTCTCTAGATATGGCCTCTTCTTCTTCTTTGTTCACCAGCTGTAAGCTCCAACAGAAAGTCCTGTTCATTTGGACTTTGGCATGGTACCAGGGTCTGAGCTTTGCATGTACATCCATTTTACTATCTTTTTTTTTTTTGGGGTGTGCATTTGGTTGTTCCTTGCTGCTTGGGCAGATGCACTCCGACTTCGAAGGAAGCTCCCAATTAGTCTACCCATATGACATGCTTTTGAGGAGGGAGTGTGTCTATTCTTTTTTCCCCCAACAATAGGATCGCTGAACCCACATGGCAAAGATATGGTCTAAATGCTGAGTGTAATTGTTCTTCTCATTTTGATCCTTTTGTACTTTAAGGTATCAAGGTCAAGTATAATTTACAGGAATGTGCCCTTTTGCGCACTTTATAATTGGCAAGTTTCAGGACTTTGTTATGTCCAAAATTTGCATGGTCAGCCTCTTCTTTACTTCCTGCCTGATCTGCTTGCTGTGGTATACTGTTTGTTGGCATTCACGTTATATGGCTAAACTATTTCACCTTTTGTTTTGTAACATAATCCAGAGCTGCTGCTACCCCTATTTTCCTTTGGATTTCATTGTTTCTGATCTCTTATTATATTAAGACCCTATGGAGGAATCTCATTTCAGTTGCTGTCATTTTTCTTTTCCTCTTTTCTGTCATTGTCCAGGTCTAGCATTGATAGCACAGGGTTGGCAAGAAAACTGTGTCACAGAGTGTAATTATTAAATACTTGAATCTCTGTTTGTTTTTGTGCTGCACATTTTTTGCTGATGCTTGTTGCAGCTCGTGTCACCCTGTCAGCCGAGCAAGAGAGCATCCAAAACAGAGGAGTGAGGGCGCTGGCAAATTTAGCTCTTGACGTGAGCAACTGTGAAAAAATCTTTCAGATGGAAGTTCCAACGTTTGTAGCAAAAAGGCTGATGGAGTCAGAGGATGTGGAGTGTCGATCAACTTATTGCAGAGCACTACAGTGAGTCATCATCATCATCATCATTGACCTCTAACACTGCATGTCGTTGGGTCACCAGCTGCTGTTGACTGTCTGATCAACTCCTTTCATCTTTGGTGATCGGGTGCAGTGGACTTTATGGTTGCATGGGCCAGTCCAGTCAGTCAAGTTCTCTATTTAGGTCTCTCTTGGTCTGCCTCTTTTTCTTTTTCCCTCTAGTGAGCCCTGTAGTATTGTTTTTGAGTTAAGTTGAGTCTTAAATTGACATCACAGCACTAGGGACATTCCGGTGTGTACTCCGTCCTTATCTTCAGCAGCCAGCACAGAGTTCCAGTGCTGATGGTACCAGTCACAATCTGGTTATATGTCCGTCTTGCCTTTCCTCTGAGTGTAGTGAGCCGGCCAGACCCTCTGGTTACACTGAGGTGCCTCATTTCTCTAGGCCATAATAATTTTGTTTCTCCACTGATTCCGTTGCTTGTTTTTGAGAGGCGGTTAGATCTTAATACACATTTTACCATTGCATTTTGCTTCTTTTCACTGTAGTTCATAGTTGAGGTTTTTTGTTACCAGGATGCTGGGTAATTACACAATGAACCTCGTCATTTTTGATGTGGTCTCTGCCAGGAATTTTGTCTAATAACTGGCAATCCTCAACAGTGTTCAAAAGATCTTCATCATTGATCATTGGTTGCTATGCATCTATTCCAGCATGGACCACAAACAGGATGGTGCACGTAAGGCTTTCACCAGTGCAGCAAATTGTTTTCTTGGGTTTAGTAGGGTCGCCATACTTCTTCTTCTCTGTGTCTGGCAAAATTTGGACAGTCTTGTAAGACATGCTCTGAAGTTGGCTTTGGTGCATCACAACCACATGCAACAGAATCGGCTTGGGGAGGTTATAACATTCTTAAGTTAGCATTAATACTTTGCTGACAAAGGGCAGCCATTATTTAATTTGTTAGATTATACCTGTGACCTGTGAATTGTTCAGGTCAGACAAAATGGCCCCTGCAACCAAATATATTTGTTAAACTCTAAGGTGAACGTCAATGAATTTTGACTTAGTAATCAGCATCTTGTCTCGAAAGTTGAAATATTTTGGCCACATCAAGCATCAAGGCGGATTGGAACAAACACTAACAGAAGGCATAGGAAAGGGAAAGGGGCTGATCACCACGAAGATGGGCATATGAAACAAGCGACACCTTGGGTAGGAAAGTGCGAGAGGTGGGAAATCTGGCTGGGGGTCCGAGTATCATTCAGGCAGGCTGTATGAGAGTGCAAAGGACTGCTACATGTTGATGATGATTTCAAGATGAATTGTCATTTTAAGATAAATTGTCATTTTACGATTAATTGTCATTTTAAGATGAATTGTCATTAGTTTTTGTTATTTTCTCTTTGGGGTCGATGTCATTTATTTGGTGATGGTTCTACTGTAGGTTGTTTGGGCAGACAGGAAAAGATGCAAGAAGACTCATGGAGGAAACTCAAGCAATCCAAGCACTTGCAGCATTGCTGAAGTTGGATAACAGAAAACTGGCAGTGAAAAGTCTGAGGATTTTGTCCGAGTTGAGTGCACTATGGTGGGTACATGCAGTAGCAAAACTAATTAAAAGATATTTGAGCCTATTGCCAGTTAGACCTACAGTAAAACCTCATTAACACAGACTTGCTTAAGAAGAACGTTCGGTTTGCATAAAAACAATTTTGTACCAGCAAGGATGTATTATTATCATTAGTCCCCAAAGTTTAGCACAAGTTGTTATTAACGTTACATTTTTTGGAATTTGTGTTAATGAGGTTCTATTGTAATTCACTGTTTTCGTCTGCATTTGCCTGATTTAAACACATTTTTGCTGTTAATTACTGTTAAAATATTCAGGTAGTAAAATTCTGAAACTACCATGTAGGAAATATTAAATTAGTTAAATAATAAAATTATCACCCTTTCTACCTTTCTGGATAATTACAGAAATAACGTATTTTTCTTCTTCGTGTTCACCAGCTGCAAACTCTGGCATAAAGTTCTGGTTGTTCATTTCCCTTTGGACTGCAGTCCTGTGCCAGAACAGAAGTTTGCATAAAATAAGCCAGATCTGTCAAATGGATCTGCATGCAAAGCTCAAGTTCTAGAGCATTTACCAAGGTCCAGAAATAGTCGAACAACCGGAACTTTCTGCCAGAGTACCTATGATTCCTTACGCCCTTCTTAGGACGTAATTTTTTGTTATTTGAAGCCCCACTCTGGCTTTTGCCAGGGGCCGCAATATAGGCAGGCCATCAATATGGCCAATTGTCTGAACGCGGTTTCTGGGACCTCTCCACGGTGATCCTCATCCGCATGGTGGCACTTTGTGTCATCGGGTGTTTATCGCTTGTGTGATGTCCTGGTGGGGTAGAAAGTCAGTCTGCCAGAGTTTACAGCCAGTGAACAGTAAAAAGAAGAAGAATTTCTTCAGACTTGAGTATTTATTTTATTCAGGCTTAATTCTTTGGATAAAATAAGAAGGAACCAACTAACAAACTTCATTTTCAAAGGGTTACAAATTGGGCACGCTTTGGGACTGAAAGACTTAAACAAATAATCTTTCCGGGAAAGCTAACCCAGATAACAGTGCCAGATTGAGTCACAAGTTTTAGCCAAAAGGTGCAAATATCCAAGCTATGTTGCAAACAGACACCTCATTTTATGTCATTTGGACAAATGATGAAGGAGAAATAAATAAGCTTTAGCCAGATAACAAGTGCCAGATGAAATCACTTGTGTTGGCCAAAAGGGGCTAATGTTGCAGCTGTACTTTAAACAGACATAGGGCATTTACGTCATTTGGACGAATGATGATGAAGTAGATAAGCAAGTTGATATGAACCATGTCATCAATAAAGTAAATAAACTGCTGCATCGGGCATATGAGGCAAGACTCATATTTATATAAACCACTTGACACTTGGTGAGTGATATCAACATTATGTCAGCTACCTTTACTTCCCAGGACTTTACCTGATAATTATTTTAGAGTGGGTTAACTTTAAGCCAGGGTCAGTTTTGAAGAAAAAAAAAATTTGCTCAGTGCAGGTTTAAACCAAAAACCTTTGGATCATTAGGTAAGTGTCTACCACTACCATGACTCCCCATGTATTAACAATGTTAGTTGCTTGTCCCTTAGCGGAGTTGCAAAACTGACCCTAGCATTTTTCGGCGGTTTGTGATTCCGCTAGGTGAATTTTACATTCAGTAGTTTGATGTTGCTTTCGGAACGGTCGGCTCTCAGTAACACTGTAGAAACCAAATGCAGTGTGATCTGATGCCACCCCAGCTGCAGGTGGGATCAAAGCTGGCACCACATAATTAGGAAGCAACACCTAAGCCTCAGATGCCAATCTGTGTATTAAGGCTAAATGCTCGCCTGTGGAGCCGAAGGTAGCTGGCGGGCTCAGGTCCTGATGGAGCCAGAGTTTTTTCAGAAGTGACCTTAACTCCCAGGTCGACACAGCATTAAATGGGTACCAGGTAAAGTCCTGGGAAGTAAAGGTGACAGGCATGATGTCGACCACATCATATCCCCAATGCTGATTGGTTATAAAGTATAGTTCTAGCCCTATATGCCCAGTGCGCCTGAAAGCACTTTAAAGGATCCTCTCAAATAATACAGGTGAATGAACTAGAATTTGTTTTTTCCCCCTTTCAGCTGTTGTCCCAGTTTTACTGGGCAGATACTGGCAGCAAACATCCTGGAAGAGCTTGTGACCTTGGCTGATGATGAAGACAGTAGTTCTGCGTCCTGCTCCCTGTCCATCATCTTAAGACTTTGTGAGCAGGAAGTTATGCGGCCGGCTCTAGGATCTGCAGGCATTATCTCCCTTCTGGTAAAACTAATGAAAAGTGACAAGAGCTGTGTCAGCAAGGTGTTGGCACTCAACGCACTCTGTTTGTGCACTAAGGAGGCGGTAAACAGGAACAAGATACAGGAAGCAGGCGGCCTGGAGTTGTTTATTTCAGCTTTGAATATAAATGAGCCAGGTTCTTTTTCCGAGGGCCAATTTTCAGTTTTGTACGACAGGATAATCAGTTCGCTGGTGAATTTTCTCTACAATGATGAATGTCTGGGGAAGCTGCTGGAGCTCGGGTTGGTGAACATCCTCTTGGAGCATCTAAAGAGATCCTGTAGTTTCAGTTCTGTGGGTGATGACTTAAAGTCAGAAATTGATTCTTTTGCAGTATCATTTGAGTCTTGTAGTAAAGACAGAAGCGGACACTTGGAAAGAGGTAGCAAGACAAACACGGCGGGTGTGAGTGGCTCTACCTGTCACAGAAATGACAATGTTGCTATGGAACAAAATTCTGCTGCCTCTTCTTTGTCGTTTTCTAGCACTTCCATGCAGACAGAAGATACCAGAGATGACTGTAAGAGTAATTATTTAGAACTCCCCTCTAGCACCCCTGTTCTTCATTATGGTATGGACACTGTAGTTCATGGAGTGCCAAGGAAAGAGTCGAATACTGATGATGAAAAGACAGATTGTGTTGTGGATAAAAACAATGGTGAAATAGCTGAAGATGTTGAAGTGGAATTGCTGACCTCATCCAAAAACCTAGAAAATCCTCTCCAGCATTCGGATAAAGCTCGACATACGTTCAGCATCAACAGTCCCACGTATCAGATGGAAACGGCCTGGAGACTCGAAGACTATACTTCTGGTGTCACATGTAAATCTTTCAGTCTTGATCCAGAGCCTCACAGAACATCTCAACACCGTTCATCTTCCCCGTATTATCTGAATACAGACCTGCTGCAAGCTCCCTACAGTCCTCTGAGTGCTGGAGCTTCCTATTACTCCCCATCTCAGTCCTCTACATCGCCAAGTGTTTTGTTGTCCCCAGTACAGTCAACATTTCCTAGTTCACCATCCTCAGTCTCCTATCGAGGCAGCCCCACTTGGGGATACTCCAGCCCAGAAAATGAGAACATTCCGGCGTCTGCTGCCCGATTGTTCAGTCCCCACAGCTTGACAAGTATGAGTCCCCTCTCCTTGGCTTACCAGAACCAGTTCAGCCCCCTCAGCAATACATTCCCAGCCTCCCCCTTACATTTGTTTGGCGAGAGGTATTCTCAGAGCCCGACCCAGAGCTCACAAAATTCACTGTTTAGCCAGAGCACTTCTTTTCTAGAAAAATCAGAGCCTATGGACCTGGATCAATTGTTGGTATCGTCAAGAACAACCTCAGAGGCACTTTTCACAGCTGTACCTCTTTCGCAAGGAACTAGTGAACATATATACTCTGCTTCAGAAGATGATGATGATGATAACAATGCCTGTGATAGTGAACTGGATCCCTCAGCCATTATTGGTGGTAGATTTGCTAATGAAGATGCAGAATTGTATCCTGTTGCTGGCTGTAGCACTAGTGACAATATAAACAGTTCTGTGAAATCAGTGTCAGGTTCTGTCAGACTGGTGTCACACAAAAGAGGCAAAACTGTGAATAATTCCACTTGTTCCACAAGTGGATCAGCTGATGGGCAACGTGAAGTCGAGAGTGCTGAGGCTTCAAAACGGAGACGGCTGAATCATACATCATTGGTCATAGAACCTGTTAGAGGACATTGTAATGAGGGACCTTCTGCTGAAAGTGTTTCCAAAGCTTTAGATCATTCTTGTGGATCTGTAGCGAATACCGGTTTGAATGATGATGAAGAAATAAAAAATGTGCCTCAGAAATTCACTGTAGTTAATTCAGCCACTTGCAGTTTGAAGATGGAGTCTGGATTTCAGGAAATGTTACCTGTTGTAACTGATGGAAATAACAAGATGCATGGGGAAACAGAGATGCAGAGACCTTCATCTGCTTGTTCAACCCTAGGTTTTGAGAAATTCAGACAAAGATCATTCCAGCGATTGGCATCATTCCCTGGTAAAGAGAAACGGTTAGCAAAATCTCCACACTTCAGGAAGCATCTTTCAGGCACACTTTCATCCAAGCCTAGAATAACCGGATCTCCCGCCGCTTCACTGCTGCCTGGCACTCACATTAGTGATAGTCCCTATAGATCCCCTTTTTCAGAACCAGCACACAATAATAGTGTGAGCAGCCAGGGCATAAAAAGTCATTCCGAAACAAAGACACACAAAATCATGGTAAGAAGTAATTCACAAGATTTGTTTTCATCACCACTACCAGAAAACGGCTCAAAAGCCTCAGATGTCGACGGATCCAGAAGAGAAGTGAGTTCCAGTTCTAAAAAAGAAACAGCTGGAAGCTCTGATCAAAGTATTGATGAAGCTAGAGTGAAAAAGATTCGCAGGACCACAGAGGCAAACATTTTGATACTCCTGGCGCGAGTTTCTGTCAAGATAAATCCAACTCAATTGTTGGCAGAAAGTACAGTCGTCAGTTGCCTACTGGGATACATAGCTTCGGCACCCAACCCTATTCGCAGAAGCTGCAGGATTTTATACAGACTATGCAGCAACCCACATTGTTTTGAAAAATTAATTCTAATGCAAATGCCCGCCTTGATTGTGAAAACACTTGTGCTGGAAAATGACGGAACATTCCCGCACAGTTTGTTTTGTTCAGATAACAGAAATATCATGGATTTCCTGCCTTCCTCTCAGGGGTCAGAGTGCAGTGGGTCACAGACATCCGAGTTTGGAAGAAGGATGGACTTTGAGTTCACTGGTGATGCCTATAGCAAACTGACGTCGAAGGTACATTCTTCCATAAGAAGTATCTTCCAGAACAGACATATTCTAGTTGTAGATAGTGAAGCATTAAGAGTCAACCAGGGGGGTGATGACATTTATGAAGTGGGCTCTTCCAGGGCAGAATCCTGTGTGAGAATAGGCTTGGAGCTGTTGTATACATTGGGAGCTGTGGCCATGTCCAAATTTGGAGAAGGAGAGATACAGCATCTCCTTGCCAGGCATTCGACACAGAACAAACTGGCATGTGTCATTAGTATGTTGCATTTACAAGTTGGATGGTGAGTGGCTAATTATTCTTTTGTTGTTGTGTCCAAGAGAACTATTCTTTTGTTGTTGTTTGAGTCTAAAAGAACTATTCTTTTGTTTTTGTTTGTATCTTAAGAGAATTATTCTTTTGTTGTTATTGGTATCTAAGAGAATTATTCTTCTCTTGTTATTTGCATCTGAGAGAATTATTTTGTTGAAGATTGTTTGTATCTCAGAGAATAATTCTTTAGCTGTTGTATCTGAGATAATTATTTTTTTGGTTTTTGTATCTAAGTGAATTATTCTTTTGTTGTTCTCTGTGTGTCTAAGAGAATTACTCTTTTCTTGTTGTTTTTGTCTGAGAAAATTGTTTAAAATTATTCGGTTGTTTATGTCTACATGGATTTGTATCATGTTAACAGTGTCTAAGTTAGTTCTTCTTCTTCTTAGTGTTTATCAGCGGTACTCTTGTGGAAAATTCTGGTTGTTTGTCCACTTCTTGCCCCAGAACTTGAGTTTAATGTGCACATCTGTTTTACATAAATGTTGTTTCCTTGTCTCTCAGGCAGATGCACTCCGGCTTTAAAGGACACACCCCTCTTTAGTCAACTTGTACGACATGCCTGTTAGGGGAGTAGTCGTTCTTTTCTTTTATGCCCAGAACTCACACGGGGAGGATTTGTTTAATGTAAACAATCAGTCTAAATAAGCTCCCTGTGCAGGTTCTGGGGCTGCCATTTTGGGCGGGGAAGAAAAGAATAGATCCACTGCCTCCCTAACAAGCATGTCCTACGAAACAACTAATTATGGGAGTTTTCTTTGAGTGCATATGAACGAGAGATCAGCACGCTGCTTACAAATAACTAAGCCAGATTTGTAAAAAGAATGTGCACACAAAATTCAAGCTCTGGAACAAGACTTAAGTCTAAAAGAGGACGAATAACCAGAACTTTCTGCCGGAGTCTGCAGCGGAGGAGCACTAAGAAAACAATGAATATTTTGAAATCATGCATAACTAAAGTTTACATTAGAAATTTAAAGAAAAATTTTTACCAGTTATTCAAAACAGTGTTTTCCCATAATGAATTTAAATAATGCGGATACAAACAATACATTGCACAATTTATTGCCAGGCATATTTTGCTGTATCTCATCAGGTGCGTTACTACAGAGTTACATCAACTAAAAATAAAGCACAAAATTGAATAAATTCAACTGAAATGCGAATAGTTTTTTCCGATACATTGGAAATAGAGTGGCAGCGCACATACCCAAATGGCTACATACACAGCTCAGGGATTCTTCTAGGGTGTCGAGACCAGTCAAGAGGAAAGTACCCGCTTCTTCCAAAGGACGTCATCTACTTAATTCCGGACACGTAATTGACACATATAGTGCTTTCCGTGTGGTTTACCACACTCCGAACAGGAGACTTGAGAATTGCTGAAGCTTTAACAATAAATATCAACAATCCCCTCCTTTGTAAGCAGACGGAATTTATTGTAAATTTGAAGTTACCCTGGTAAGTCACGTGACTACGGTGAGCTTCTGGCAGCCATGAAACAGACGCAATGTATCGGGAAAAACTATTCACATATCAGTTGAATTTATTCAGTTTTGTGCTTTATTTTATGTTGATATAACTCTGTAGTAACGCACCTGATGAGATACAGCGAAATATGCCTGGCTGTAACCAGTTTTATTAATTGCGATTTATAACCATGATTGTTGTCTCCTACAGGTGCACTATTACTCGGGACAAGTTTTTCACCAAGTACAGTCTCTGGGATAAAGTTCTGCCCTGTCTGTTTACCCCTGAAGCTCCTGTTATCAGGGAAACCATAGTAGCAGCCGTAAGTTTAAATGTTCACCTAGACAACCCGGGAAAACTAACAAAATTAGTCCCCAAATTGCCAGTCTGCCCGGACTTGGAAAGCACATCCCGTCATGGAAGATCGGTAAACAAACAATTTCACGAGCATGTAAACAGCAAGTCAAAATCAAACTTGAAACCATCTCTGAGAAATGCAGAGAAAACCACTCTACATGCTGATAGTTTTGGAACTTTGAAGCAAATAAGCAGTGAGTTTGTTAATGACGGATTGCAAATCTGTGAGCAGACAGGTTCCGAGTCCACATGTACAGAGGAAGTTGACAACACCGCAAGCTGTAGTTCAAAAACAGATTCTTTCTGTCCTTATCAGAATATGTCTCTGAAGCACGATGTTTGTTTTTCTGTAATAGATGAGAACAAGTACATTCACAAGATACGTGCCCAACGAAAGATCTTGGTGGAGAAATCAGAAGTCTTCGCTGCTATGTTCTCTGGATCATACTCTGAGTCTGTCCAGGCAGAAATTAATGTGCCAGACGTTAGTAAAGATGCATTTGAGTTTATTATCCATTATTTACATGGATGCTCTTCTGAATGTCCTCTCATTGCATCACTCTGTATGGAATATGTTAAAGATCAAATTGTTACAGCAGAAATGTGTGTGAGGTCAGACAGTACAGAATCAAGCTCAGTGGCAAAGCAAGGTGACGGAATAATGTGCGATGAAGAGCAGAATGTCAAGGAAGAAATGGGTGCAGGTAGGAATGACAGTATTTGTGTGGTAAATGACAGTTCAAAGTCAGAGCTTGAAGCTGGAAGAAAGCGAACGGAGGCTTCAGCAAACATCTCACAGGTGTTGGAATTTATGCAGTCACAAGATTCTCTAGACAGCCTGACACTTGAAGACCGGCCGCACGGCGACGAGTTACCCCATGCTTGCCGTAAGCTCAGTTTTTATAATCCCTTCCCTAATGGTGGTAATAAAGACACCGGGGTTCAGAGCTCGGAAGAAATAGCTCGTAAATGTTTTGACGAATTAATCACTAGATGTCAAGACATCTTAGAGCTGGCCGACAGATTTCTCCTGCACGACCTGATGTTTTATCCAGCTTCAGTGCTAGCTCACGTGTGTTTGTGTGAGCACACGGTGGAGGACATTTTCCACCTTGCTTGTTTTTACCATTTAGATTCCCTGGCCTTTGATTGCATCAGGGAAACGTTGATGTCTTGTCTCCCATGCAGCGACGCTGCTGCCATCTACTTGCAGCTGGCCGAGGATGGGTACAGAGAACAGGTCCATACAGCTTTACAGTGGCTGGTGAATCGGGTGAAATAAAGATTATCTCATCATTATCATCATCAACGGCAGGTCCTTTACAGGATGTCGCTATCTTCAGCGCACACCTGAAAAATTGATCTTTTTGTAGCCAATCTCCCCCCCCCCCCCCCCCCCCATGTGTCTTTCATAACCAGAGAATCTTCTTATACAAACCTTTGTGAAGGTCAGCTTCTGCCTCATTTTTCTGAAACTGCACTCTCAAGGCCACATATTCAGCTTCCGTTCAGAGTTTCTAGAGATATATGCGGTAGTTCCTCCCCCCCCCCCCCCCCCCCCCCACCCCCCCCCCCCCCACACGGCTGAGCATCCTTTAGATTGCCAGAGTCTGGCTGTTACTAACAGGAGATGGCACCACAGAGGTGTCCGCTTATCCTGGCGGATACTCCGTCCTCAGGACTGCACTAGCCGCACCAGGGTGCGTTCTGTCCTCCCCCCCTGAGAAAGTGAAGTTGAAATTTTCCTGTTTGTCGAAACGTTGAGGCTAGGGTGGCATTTCCCATGCTGTCTGAATATTTTTAGATGGAAAAAAAAAAGCAACAGATTATTAAACTTATAAAAATACCCTAACTTGCAAAGTTCATGGTTACTGCAGTAGCACGCAGCCTTGAAATCTCAGCCCATTCCCCCCTCCCCCCAGAAGTAAAGACAATTGGACAGTAAATTTGTGTAGCTTCTACATGTGTTCATCCACTATTTTTTGTTTGTTTATTATTGGAGTGCTTTTGCATTGTCTCTGCTTGTAGCAGAAGTGAATACAAAATTGACCTAAAACTGAGCTGATAACTTTGTCATCATGTAGCAGGTCCAATGTAGAACATGGTTCTCATTACGGTCTTGGCTGAAGGAAACTCTGTGCCTCTCACCAGCTCCCCTGTCTAGTCCTACCCAAGGTATCGCTTATATCCTGTACCCATCCCCATGCTGGTCAGCCACTGTCCTTCCTTCGTTGTAACATGCCTTCTGCTATTATTTCTTTTCCTGTCCAGTGTGGCCCTTGGTTAAAATATTTCAATTTATGAGACAAGATGCTGTTTAGTAGCCAGTCTTCCTTAATGTTCAGGTCTTTTAGGTTGCCAGTATTTCTTTTCTTCTTTGTGTTATTCTTAGAATCTTTCAAAAGCCTCTATTGTCTTCCGTAAGGACTCAGAATCCAGGCAAGAATTTACCCTTTGTCTTCCTGTAAGGTCGTGGACACATTTGAGGACCTGTGATCAAGAAAAGCTGCCAACTTAACCATCCGAGACAAAAGTTAGAAATTATATTATCAGACAGACTGTAGAAACAACATCTTGCAGCAAATTCATTAGGAAACAGATGAGATGGTTTGGTCATTTAGTAAGAATGCAGTCATAACCACTACCCAAACAGGCGCTACACATGAAGAGATCTGAAGTGAAAGCAAGAGGCCACCCTAGGAGAAGATGGATTGATGACATTAAAGAGCTTCTACGTTGACACAAAATGACAATAGCCATTGCTGCATATCAAGCGATGGGTCGCAAACTGTTCCTCCCCACAACGCCTATCGGCAGAAGTGGAAATTGATGATGATAGTGTGATCCTGGTAGACTGCCTACGTCAGAAATTTAAGACAGACTTTTCACCCCAGAAGCTAATGCATACTCTCCACTTCAGAAGTTAGGACAGACTTTTGATCTCATAAATTGGGACAGACTTTGGACTTCAAAACTTGGAGCAGACATTTTACCTTAGAAGTTAGGGTACACTTTCTGTGTCAGAAATTGGGAGCAGACTTCACCTCACAGGTTGGGGCAAGAGTTCTGTTTGTGAGAGCACCTTCTTTCCATTCAGTGAAACATCCCATGGCACTTAATGCCTGTGGCATTCACATTTTTCGCTCTAGTGATGAATTAGGCATATGGTGCTAGAATTAAATCACTCAGCAATCGACAGCCGATGTGGTCAGAATCACGCTGGCACTTCGCAGGACCTTTTATTGTAACCACTTTTATAGACCTTTTTCCCTTACCAAAAAGCATGTCGTAGAAGTCGACTAATTAAGGGGCATCCTTTGAAGTCAGATTGCATCTGCCCGAGAGGCAAGGAATCAAGAGTCTGCGTACGAATAAGCCAGGTCTGTAAAACGGATGTGCACGTAACACTCAGATTCTGGAACAAGACTAAAGTCTGGGTCGAAGTTAACAGCTGGTGAACATGATGATGATGATGAAGTATACTAAGTTAGTAGTATGGGTTTCCTAGAAGTTGGGGGAGATGCTTCTTTCTGTGATCAAGGTGGTTCTGGGATCATCAAGGTGGTTCTGGGATCATCAAGGTGGTTCTGGGATCAACCAGGCTTCATAGAAATCATTACCGTCAAGTGTCTTGCCGACTGGCTTGGCTGATCAGGCCTTTCCACAACCTGTGATCAACAGCATTATCAGTTCATGTATTGATACCCATCTATGCCATACCTTAAGGCTTGAAGAATCTTCCTGTTTTTCTTTCCACAAAAGCTTCCCAGTGGTCACACAATTTTTCAGTTACCCTCTTGTGATAACATGGTCAAAATATGTTGACCGTTTCCTTCTGATGATGAGTTGTCTTTAAGCTTTCAGCATAACATCTTGGTTACTCATTCTGGCTGTCCAAGGAATATTAAAAATTCTTCTGTAAAACCAAGAAACTCTCCGACAGTATGATAACCAAGAGAAGATGGAAATATTACTTAGCCGAGTAATAAGAATAAATCCTGATATACCTGCCAAAACAGCTCTCCAATGGACACAAAAGGGAAAGAGAAAGAAGGAGCGCCCAAAAACAACATGGAGACGAACGATAGAGAGTGAACTGAGTGCTGCATCTCTGACATGGAAAACTGCACAGCACAGCATGGAAAGTCCTCTCTGAAGCCTCAATCTATGACATGGAAAACTGCACAGGACAGCATGGAAAGTCCTCTCTGAAGCCTCAATCTCTTACACGGAAAACTGCACAGGACAGCATGGAAAGTCCTCTCTGAAGCCTCAATCTCTGACATGGGAAATTGCACAGGACAGCATGGAAAGTCCTCTCTGAAGCCTCAATCTCTTACATGGAAAACTGCACAGGACAGCACGGAAAGTCCTCTCTGAAGCCTCAATCTCTGACATGGAAAACTGCACAGGAAAGCATGGAAAGTCCTCTCTGAAGCCTCAATCTCTGACATGGAAAACTGCACAGGAAAGTCCTCTCTGAAGCCTCAATCTCTGACATGGAAAACTGCACAGGAAAGCATGGAAAGTCCTCTCTGAAGCCTCAATCTCTGACATGGAAAACTGCACAGGACAGCATGGAAAGTCCTCTCTGAAGCCTCATGTGCCACTAGGCATAAAGAGAATTGAATGATGATTCTTCTGTAAAAACACATCTCTGAGGTCTCAAGAAATTGCTTGATCATAGGAATGGATACCAGAACATTTCCAGATTTAAGTGTGAGTTGCTAGAGTAAAGAAAGATGATGAGGTGAACTAGGCACCCCCAATTAATGACCTATAATATATGAAGGCCTAGTGCTTTACCGGAGGGCTGTGTAACTGGCAGCCCATGGGCCAAATCTGCCAGTTGTATTAATCAGCTTTTTATGCTGAGAGTTTGTGCCTCTGGCCCGTAACGATCCCCATTTTGAAAATGTTGACCCCTGAGTAAACTTGGTTGAATAGACTTGATTTACAGGGTCATGATGGTGCAATGACTAGACACTTGCCTGCCCTGAAGGTCTTGGGTTCAAATCTATTTGTTCACAAGGACCCCCCCCCCCCCCCCATGATGTTTTGGTGTATATATATATATATATATATATATATATATATATATATATATATATATATATATATATATATATATATATATATATATATATATATATATATATAATCAATGTTTGTGTGTTTGTTTCACCCCTATAGACTCAGAAACTACTGAACCGATTTAGCTGAAATTTTCAGGATATGTTTGTTGTGATACCGGATTTTGAACTGTCGTGGTTTGAAATTCAACCTGTCACTGTTAGAGATAGGTGACCACAATTTATGCCAAAATATACGCAACTAATATTTATAACTTTAGTGATTTCTAATTATAGCCACGTTAGTAATTGCGCATGCGCCGTATTTACCATTCGCCGGCGAGTTACGTGCAGCCAACGCCTTCTCTAATACTAATACATAGAGTAGGTCGTGGTACAGCAAACAAGACTATCTCTATATTTGCCACAATAACCATATTAAACACGATTTCTATTTTCTGTTTTTTTTTTTCAAACAGCCTTCGATGGGGGAGGGGGGGGGGGCAATCAAGGACTATCTCGACGTCGGCGCAGACAGTGACTGCGACATTAACTTCATTAATCGTGTTAGACACGTGCGATTTCTATTTCATTAATATATCTGGAGTATCTGTCTACGAGAAAACAATTGCCTGCGGTTTTGAATTGCGTTTTAATCGCGACACAGTAGTATGGACTCATATGTCTAATAGTTGAGTTCTCTTTTCGTTGTTCCGATTAAGTGGCTGCTTGGTCGAATGGTTAGAACACTGGGTTCATGTGCGGTAGACATGGGTTCGAATCCGCAGTTGTTAAATTTTTTTTTAGCCCCGGACTAAAATAATATCCTCATCTGCTCTGCCGTGGTGACAGCACTAGCCATGTTGCCTTTAAAAAAAAAAAAAAACAAGTAAATGGGTAAACCATTTGATAATTAAATTTGACCATTTCGCATACTTATGATTGCATTGTTAAACTTTCCGATTGCATGGTTACGCTGAAATTTTATAGATTTTCATTTAGATTTAGTTATTTCATCTGTGTTGAAATTTTAAGCTGTGCTGTTTACAATGGCATTCATTTCCTAATTATGGTGTTTTTTTCCTGTGTTCGTTTGCTTTTCAAGTGTTTTTTTTTCTCTCCCAACTACTTCAATGGGGGAAAGAGTTGTCGGTGAATTTGGGGGGAGGGCAAACTATTAACTGAGAGAGCTTTAAGTCACAGTAACTGCTTAAACCCACTTAAAGTAGCAGCAGTAGTAATAGTTGTGGTTGGGCTGTTACACCATAGTGCTCTCATGTGAAGACCGCCGGTAAGGTTATGGCGTTCTTCTGTCGGCAAGTGAAATTATACATCCTAACCTGACCAGTCTGTGGCGACAGCACTAGCCATGCGGAACCAAATCTTCTGGCTCACGACTCTGTCTACTCCGATGGTAACACAGATAGCAGTGACATTATTTTATTGGTTTTCTGGTACTTGAAGGATGATGTGGTAAATATTACACTAGCCCTATTCACTACCTTTTACAATTCCTGCTCCCTATTTTAGTCCAGATGGACAGGGATGTCAATGTCAGTTACAGCAACAACAAAATATCGCCAGGTAATGATTTTCAAATTTTCGAAGAGGGAGAAAGCAGTAGTCGGTAGAAGAGGGGAGGGGGGGGGGGGGGTAATGACATAAATTTGATAAGGGGGAGGGTAGTAGGTGGATTTAGTTAGGGGTGGGGGGGGGGGGGGGCGTGGCGATCAAAGACTATCTCTATATCTGAGCAGACAATGATTGTATTAGACACGTGCGATTTCTATTTTCTTTCATTTCCATTTAGCCAAACTATGCCACAGCAACGCGTGGCCGGGTACAGCTAGTATATATATATATATATATATATATATATATATATATATATATATATATATATATACACACACACACACACATACATACATACATACATACACATCTTGACCTAAATGCTGCACAGGCGGGAACACAACCTAAAGGTCTCATAAACTGTCACTGTAGTAAATTTTTTTTTTTAATTTCATCTTTTTCTTAAAGTCAATGAAATTGGTAGTCATGCCTTGTTCATTTTAAAGATCATTCTTCATTAGACATGACCATAAGTACTCTGATCTCCTCCTATGTCTCCGAGTGTTTTTAGGCTAAAATCCCATTCTGTTCTGGTAATCTAACGATGGGTGGCTCCCGCATGGTTTTCTTGCTTCACTGCATTTATTGGTACACCTAGGGTATGCAGTCTATTTAGTGAAAAATCATTTTTGGTAGTCATGTCTATAGGTATCTATCTGCGGTACCTATAATGGAATCAAGGCCGAAGGGTTGCGATTTTCATAGTACCGAGCCAAAAAAGGGTTTATAACTCATGGTTTCAGGATACTAAAAAAAAAAAAAAAATCCATAGTCGTCTAGAGTATCGACATTCATATCTGACACAGATGATCTTCCATGCCATGCTGGTAATCTGTCCAGGGTCTTCTCTCTCCCACTACCCCTCCAACTGTCCCACTATCATGATGTACTTGAGTTTTCTTCTCCTCCTAATGTGACTAAAAAATGTTTTTTTTTTCTTTTCATTTTAAAGTTTTTTTAAAAATCTAATGAAGTGTAAAATAAAATTGGTAAGTCTTTAAGCATGTTTCTCAAAGTGTTTATTATCTAGCCCACATCAACAAACAGCATGACAAAAGAAGGAAAACATTTTGGTATGAATGATAAAATCTTTTCCTAGAGTGATCATAAGTATTAATTATTCTTGTACAACAGCACGAACCGGGCCATAAAGATACAGAATTTATTTTTCAGCGAAGGCTTTCAAGCTCTGGAGAAAGTTGATGTACTGTTTGTTCTCGTACACTGTGCAGAAATTAACCAGCTGTGTAATGAATTCGTCATTAATTCCTCGCTCGTCAAGCATGTCCATCAACAGATCAAACAGCTCCTAAACGGAAAGTAATACAAAAGCCATAGTGATATATATAAACAAGAAAACAGAAGACTGACTCATTCCATTACACAATCCTGTTTCTTATATACATAAGTCCTTGAAATGGAGGCTGGCATGTTGTGTTGTTTTACAGTAAGGGGGATCTCTATGGCGAAGGTCTTGGCAGGCAGCTAACTATTCTGTGGAGAGACTGAGCCATATGGGATACAACTTGGTGCAATGTGTAGTCGATCAACTCACCTTTACTTTTACAGCTAGGCTGTTACATCCGCACCTGTCAGCCAAAAAAATCCAAGTTTCAGCAGAGCTCTAATTGGTCACCTTTAACAACATGCTTTTTATGGGAAAGGGAGCCTACCCCAGAAACCAAATGGGGAGGGGCTGCGTTAGCGCTGTCGAAAGGAGACTCACTTTCAAATCCAGCTGCGACTCGCTGCAGCCGATGTTCAAAACTGGGGTTCACCCAGTCTCTAAGTAATAGGTACCAGAGTTAATACTCTGGGGTAAATGGAGGAACATCGCTGTAGTTACGTGAGGACGGCCACACAGGCGGACAATTTCTTCTCAGCTCTCCGAACTGGTGGTAGAGGTAAAAAGTCTCATTCAGTTTGGTCTGGCTGCATTCTCACTAGATGGCTAAACCATTTCATTCTTTGTCAATATAAACCAGACACGGTCTTATTCCGACTTTTTCTCTAATGCTGGTGTTCGTAACCCTGTCTCTTCTTCTGTTGTTAGTGACCTTGCGGAGACGGCGCATTTCACAACAGACACTGCAGCTAAGAAATTCAAAATCAGGGCCTGAACATCGTGCCGCAGACATGCTCTCTTTACGCAGTCGAAAGACTCCAGGTCTGGTCAGTTAGCCTTCTGGTAGAAACCAAGCTGTTTTATGGATCAGTGGAGAAGATGCCTTACACCACAGCTTTCACAGAGGCCTTTGACTTTCTCATCTTCTTCTTTGTTCATCGCTGTAAGCCCCAGCGAAAAGTCCTGGCTGTTCATTCTTCTAGACTTTGGATTTGTGCCAGGACTTGAGTTATGCATGTACATTAGTTTTACTGGCCTATTCGTTCGCAGTTGGTTTCCTTGCTGCTCAAGCAGATGCACTTCATATTTGAAGGAAGGTCCGGTTAGTGTAGACTGCTACTACATGCTTGTTGGGGGGAAAACAGTGGGTCCATTCTTGTTATTTCCACAATGGAGCCCTGGACACACACAGGGCACTTTCTCATCTGAAACCCAATAGTTAAACGAAGGGATGGAAGAAGATGATTTCTTGCCATAAGCTTAACTGCATTGCAGATGCTCAGATTTTCAACACTACTTACAGCATCCATTGTTGCAGCAGAAACAGAGTAAGTTGTGTCTTTCCACTCTCCGCTATGAATTGCAACTTCTTCAATTTCAAACTGGTCGTCTAAGGAAGGAAGAAGAAAAAACAATGTTATTGTTGTCTGGTAAATATCTATACATATTTTGTCATTTATTACAACACCTATAAATACAAGCACATCACATTATGATTTTCATCATCAAGTGCCTTGCCAGCTGGTATAGGTGTTCATGCATCTCCACAGATCTTGGTCTTTGGTGTTCTGGATCCATTCCACTAATGATATTTCTCCATGCCACTGTCTTAAGCCATCCACCATCATTTCTCTTGGTCTGCCTCTGCCTCTTCTATCAGTGATCTTTCCAGTCACAATCTTTTCCAGTGCTGAACTTCGTCACCTTCTCTATTGTATTTTATGTTCTATTTTCATTAGCCATTTTCAGGCAATCATTGTTAGTTATACTGGCAGTCCAAGGTATTAGGGAAAATATACACAACTGAGGCCAGAGCTCTTTATGATGAATACCGGCACCTTTTTAGACACACTGTGATGAATATCGGCACCTTTTTCCTCCAGAAAATAAAAAGCACTGATTAAGACTAATTATCCTATATGACTCTGAAACCAGAAGAACAATTAAAAAAGGTGTATCCTTATAAACTTTTGTGAATAGGATCTTACAATGAATCTTTGTGCCCATCTACAATACAAAATAGAAGAGAATGGGAGCAACAATGAAAGTGATCAGCTTTTTCTTATTCTTCTTCGCGTTCACCAGCTGTGAACTCTGGTGGAAAGTTCTGGTTGTTCATCCACTTCTGGACTGCAGTCCTGTTCCAGAATCCTGAGTGTTGCGTGTGCATCCGTTTTACTGATCTGACTTATTTTTATGCAGACTGCTGGCTCCTTAACTCTCAGGCAGATGCACTCCGACTTTGAAGGAAGCTCCCATTTAGTTGACTCTTACGACATGCTTTTAGGTAGGCAGTGGGTCTATTCTTGTTTTCCCTATAACAAGGCCCTGGAATCCACACAAGGAATCAGCTCTTTCAATCATCACTTATTACTGGTTTCTTGAGGGCTAACAGACTGATGGTTTGGGTATACAGAAAGAATGTCAGATAACAGAGAGATAGAAACTGCATACACAAAAGAGTTGAATGGAAGCAGACAAAGAAGATGGCGGACAGATAACATACAGGCAGACCTAAACATACTCTGAGTCACCAACCACCTCCGAAGCAGATGCACTCCGACTTTGAAGGAAACCCCCATTTGGTCAACTCTTATGACATGCTTGTTAGAGAGGTAGTAGGACTATTCTTGTTTTCCCCCACAATGGGACCCCAGAACCCACATGGTAAGCTGGTGAACAGATACACAATAAGCTAAATGCAAGAGTCCCCTGGAAGCAGAGGCACAGATAGATCATTATGGTCTAAGGAGAATAGTGCTGCTACAAAGAGTGACCAGGGGATCTGGCCGACGCTCAACACTCGAGGGAAAGGTGAGACGGAGATACAATCATCAGACCGTTACTAATGCCATCAGGATTACAACTCTGCTTGCTGCTGAAGATGGAGTTCTTATGGGATTGTCATGAGTGCTGTAATGTTGATTCAACAATTTAGAAATCTGCATTAAAAATTGTGTGCCATCTCCACAATGAAGACTGACCACAGTGTCCATGGCTGTCTTCGCGAATATTATATGGTGAGGTCCCCAGCTCTTCCACGGCGCAACTCTTGTACAGTTGTTCTGAAACCTCGAGAATCGTTTTTCCCTCTTTTGTTTTTGCAAATAAAACCATCCACCACAAAAACCAGACCTTAGCACTCGAGGAGCAAGAATGAGAAATCTGTACAGAAAATATATAATTTCTGTGAGTTCCAAGAACTGTCAGTATGTGGCCTGGCAGACCAGATAAACATCATTCTAGACTAACTTTACTCAGTACTGGGCAATTCCGACAAACATCCACCCAAAAATATCTAGGGACCAGAGCCAGTTTTACAGCAACACACCCTAAATAACACAACTTCTGTAGTCATTACAAGAACAACACAGAAGTTAGTCGAGGTTCCAGCATCACTGCGGGCAGGTTTTCCTAATTGCTCCGTTCTTGTGCCTGTGGAAATCACATAAAACGTCCATCACTGTCCATTTTAAAAACTAGCGAAAAACTTGTCAGTCCCAGCAAAATCTTGAAGCTTGCACATGCAAAGTAAAAATGCATATGACACCGGTTAAATGTGCCAACACTATCGGCACCACACCAGAACTGCAACTCTGTTGGTGCAAATAGGCAATCATAAAGGCCGGTATTGCACCTGCAAAAGCACATGCCATTCTGAACATAATCGTCCACTCACCATTTTAGTGCCGCCAATAACTTGCTGCAGACACAACAGAAAAAAAAATTGTCCACATGAAATCCAGTGTCACCCAGGCCCCCAACTCAGTAGCTAAGAGATTGAACATTTGGACTCCCGGTCCAGAAATGGGAAATTTGCACCAGTAAAACACAGCTGGGAACAAATAACTTTTTAGAGCATCAGCGCTCAGCTGGCTATTGGCCGGAAGTCCACAACAGAGAAAAAAAAAAGAAGAAATATAAAACCTGTACTCACCAATCTGTTCGCCTTCTTTTTGACTTCCTTCCTCATAAACAGCATCAGGAGAAGGGAAGTTGCACTGAAGGGCTAATACTGTGCTTCCTTTGGTAATCTCCACCTCAAATGGAGGTCTGCAGACAATCTGTTTCAATGCAATAAAATATTGAAAGTACAGTGGCACCTCAGTACATTTTAGAGTTGGTATATGTCCTGTTTTGATGCAAATTTTGTCGCTAGATATACGATTGTTGTTTGGAATACAACTCGAGCGCTTGAACTTGTAAGTCTCAACAAGATCCAAGTAGAGAAAAGAAAGAGAGAAAAAACACACACCAGAACTTAAGATTCTCAAAGTGTTACTGGATCAAAGTGTTACTCTTCATCAAAAAATATCTCCCCTCCTTTCTTAGCTTAACACCGTCCTAGCAGGCAGTCGGTTTTTCCCAACAAAATGGGGCTTGGTTACATTTTCATTTATTTTATATAACTGCTTTTTGTACTCACATACTTTAATATTATTCAGTGTTTACCGGGAAGGCTAACCTGGTCAACAAATGCCCGCAGAAGTCGGATGTGTTGGCTGAAAGGTGCAAATATCGCAGTCATGTTGTAAACGGACACAACACAACATGAACGCAGAAGAAGAAGAATCAGTGCTTAAATTTTTTTTATACAACCCCATCAATGTATAATATGCCAATAACAACAAATGTTTTTTAATGGGAAATTCGCTATTAATATCTAGCATGACTCTCCGGTGTCTGCTTCTCTTTCGTCTGCTACTTAAGGGTCTGACTGATGTTGTTCTCTTTGGCGTTGCCCTGATTAGGCCCTAATAAGGGCTATGCTGGCCTCTTCTGCATCGTCTTGTTTACCAGTGGCTGTAGCTAGGGGATGGTGTCTTCGATTTGATCTAGCTGCTTTTATCTTCGGTACTGGCTACCTTTACATTTGAGTCACTAGCTAGGTCTGTGGCTTCGATATCTTTTGATTGGTCAAATTTTTCCGTGGCTTGCTGGATCCCCCCCCCCCCCCCCCCATTGTTCATTCAGGGGTTGTTGTTTGGCTTCTATTGTCTCCATTGTGGCATTGCACTCCTTTCTGATTCTTTTGAGGTTTCCTTTGTCTCTTTTTATTGAGATCCACAGTTCTTTCAGTTCAGCTATCTTCTAGTTTAAATCTTCATTGAGGTGGCTTTTCCACAGCTTTCACCATCCTTGCAGCCTGCAATCTGTGCTACTTCTTCATTTTCTATGTCGCGCTGCTTTTTTCACTGCTCCCTTGGCTCAGTTTCTGTGCGAGTTGTGTCTTACTTAGATGTTTCTTCAGTTTCCTGATCTCTGCGTGTAGTCATCTTCTTTCGATGGATGACATGCCTTGTACTGACTCACTTTTTCTTTAAGTTTCATTATATGGAATGTTTTCAACAATCACTGTCTTGATAGTCTTCTTGCATTCCAGGATTGGTTGTAGTTTGTACATGGCTAGACATAGCAAGATGTGCAGTCTGTCATTTGTGGCTTCTGTGTTTAAATGGGAAACAGTACTCAGGGTAATGCCTGGTGAAGACAAGCTGTCTCAGAAAAGCTGCAGGAAGAACAATAGGAGACTTTACAAATTTATTCCTTCTTTATAACATCCTTAAAAATCCGGACCCTCCATATTTTCTTAACAAATTTAGCCCTCTGTCTATTCCTTGAAGTCTGCATAATTGTTTGTCCATCTATATTCTTTGAATTGTCCTTAGAAACCACATTTATATTATCCAATATTTCACAGCTTGTGTCATCCATAATTTCTCCATTCCCATGAATTGTCCCGCAATGTTCAGTACGAAAACTAGTGAATAAACTGTCCCAACAAAGTCCAGAAATTTGTACATGCAGTAAATGCATAAACTAGCAACTAGAGGTGCCAATACTGACAGCTGCGACCATAACTGCAATTTGTTGTTAATGGAAGTAGTCAGTCACATCGAGCTAGCCACACACACAACATATTAATGCATATGGCACTTAGCCAGCACAAACGTAACTGGCCACCAGGCATTTTCTGAATATATCACACACACACAAAAACTGCTGCAGGCACAGACGAAAGACACTCCGCATGAAATACATAGCACAACTCTGTTAGCGTGGCTAGAAGCAAACACTTGCTAGGCTTTAACAGACTGCCTGTATATGTACTATACTGGACCGGAAACTATCAATTACATAAAACAGTAGATACTCTATACAGGATCACTAATACTTTCTCACTGCAACTGCTTTTTATTGAGTATATTTTTCTTCTTACAAACAGCTACTGTTTAAAAATATAGAAACATAAAATAGAAAGACAACTGTAAATAATAAACTAATATTCAGAATTAGACACTGGACATAAGTAACTCCGAAATATAAAGAACTCAAGCATCAGTAAGAAGGGATTAAAGTCTGCAACTAGATAATGTCATAATCTTGAAACCTAGGCCTGTATAAATTCAAGTAGCTCAGTCAGTTAGGATGGTTTGAACTGTGTGCAGAATCAACGAGAATCAGCCACTACAGCAGGCAAATAACCAGGAAACCAGACTTTCAGGACGATCAAGGGTTCGGTGGGAAGACAACATCTGACAGTCCCTAACTGACAGAGGACTGCAATGGAACAAAGCCAACAAGAAAACTGCTGATAGAGAAATCTGGCAATCTTTCTGGCAAACCTCTACATCACATGGTAGAAGAGGTTTTACTAAGTAAGTTTCAATAGGCAACAAGATCATGTAAACTCTACAAATTTGCACTGTGACTACCTGAGGGTTTTCTTCTTGCTTGCCTTGTGGATCCTGAGTGGGGGCAGAGTCTACAGCACCATTTATGCTCAGTTTCACAACAACCCTTGAAACACATTAAAACAAAACTGAACTCAAACAATTGAAGTATATCAATGCAATTAAGGTCTAAACTAGACTTATCAAACTTGCAGCTCTTTGCCTGCAATATTTTTTATTAAATAACTTCAATTAGTTGTTGTGTGTGGACCTCATGACAACACAAATGTGACCCCATATAGCCATTGGGGGACCCTCGGTTTCCCATGCCTGGTCTAAAGAACTTTAACTTTAAATGCTGTTGCAGAGAGATATGTGGCAAAGTTTTTGTCTTCCCCAGTTAAAATTTGTAATGGTCTTCTTTCTTCGCTTTCACCGGCGGAAAGTTCTGGTTGTCTGTCTAACTTCAGACATCAGACTTGTTCCAGAACTTCAGCATTGCATGTACAACCATTTTACAGATCTAACTTGTATGCAGATTGTTGGTTCCTTTCCTCTTATGCTGATGCATTCCGACTTTAAAGGAAGCACCCTATTAGTCGACTTTTACGTCATCCTCGTTGGGGAGGTAGTAGGTCTATTCTTGTTTTGCCCACAATGGGAACCCATGAACTCAATGATTTTCCTTCGTCAGAATACATATTTTTATTTTTATTGTATCTCACACATTTTTTTAAGAAAACAAATAAATGTGTTATGATAAATATTATGAGCCCTGAAAAAATGACTGAAACAGACAATATAGTATAAAGACAACAGCTTTCTTTCATGCACTATTTTGAATAGTTTTATGGGGTTTTTGTGTGTGGCTTTTGTGTGGGGGGTTTTTCAGAAGAACATCAGACGGTCATTTTAAAGTCCAGATATTCTATTTTTCTTTGAAGACATTGTGTCATACACACCTCTAGACATTTACTTTGATCGCTGAAGAAATATCATTTTTTTAACTTGTAGTTATGACCAGTTAGGTTGTCATGAAAACAAAACAACAAGGAAAGACACACACACAAAAACAAGTAAAATAAATGCTGTAATGACCTCACCACAAGAGTACACATATTAACATATTGTCCCACACCTGTCACAAAGGCTAAAAGGTATGTAGTTATATCAACTAGTCCCTGTGTGGGTTCTGGGGGTCCCACTGCTGGGGAGGAAATAAACAGACCCACTGCCTCCCCTAACAAGCATGTCGTACAAGTAAACTAATTACGGGTATCTCCTTTGAAGTCGGAGTGCATCTACCTGAGAGGTGCAGAAACAGCCTGAAAGCTGCAGAACAGTGTCTGCATACAAATAGTGATCTGTAAAATAGATGCTCATGCAAAACTCAAGTTTTGGAACAAGATTAAAGTCAGGAAATGGACACAAAACCAGAACTTACAGCCCATGAACGCAAACAAAAAGAGGAAGAAGACATAAATCAGGAAAAATGTGGATTTCAATTAAAAGTTTGTACTGCTAAACAGGAAAACATGTTGTACATCTTTGTCTCTGGAAGCCCATTCCAGATACCTCTTCCTGTCTTTAGGCTGCAAGGCATTCCAGAACTGAGAAGCAGAGAAAAGTCTCAAAGGAAGTGACTTTAACATAGTAATCTGGTAATAAATTTGTCGGATTAATAAATTATTTAAAAAGAAGAAAAAAATCACCAACTTTTCTGAGCCACTGGTTTTTGTTAATGTAACATCTGCTCCGTCCGTTTGAATGTCAAAGCCAGAAATCTTGGGTAATTTGTCGCTTGATTTTGAGGTCTCATATTTAATTTCCTTCTCCAAGAACTTGGAAATTTCACTATCAACTGGAACAGAATTTGTAACATCCCGTAAGTAACTTACGTCGTAAGTCCTACAAAAACATTTTAACACCACATCAGCTCTGATTATAGATCTTTTTTTAAAAAAATATACTAAGTAAGTCCTAATAATACTGATGTATGTAACTAAAACATGGAGAACAACTAAAGCAATCACTAATTTACTTAAAGTCACTAACTAGTAACTTTGCAAAATAGAAGAGGACATTTAATTCAAATTAAATGTCATGATGGAATCACTAATGCTGAGCACTGGTAGAGAATCAAACAAATTTAAGTGAACCATCAACTTGATGATCACAAGAGGTAAAGACAAAATAGTGGGGTTGGATAGGGCATACATTAAAAATACCGGACTACAAAAGAATAGAATGTTTTTGCACAGCAACTTACAAGAAGAAATGGGGCACACACACAAAATTGGAGAAGATCACAAAAGAGTAAAGTTAAAAAAAGGTGGGGAGGAATTATGTGAGCTGCATGTTACAGCAACGGATAGGATGACTTGGTGTAAGTTAGTTGAGGACCTATGCTCTATTTGGAGCTGAAGGGCAAAGAAGTTCTAACAAGTTTGTACTGCTGAATAGGAAAGAAGGAAAGAATGCTATACATCTTTGTCTCTGGAAGCCCATTCCAGATACCTCTTCCTGCCCTTGATGCTGTAAGTGCAAGGCATTCCAGAGCTGAGAAGAAGAGGCGAGTCTGAAAAGAAGAAGTGGTCCTTAAGACTAGAATATTAAAATTCGCAGCCTAGAATTAGCATTTAAGCATTCATTCAGGCTTGGCTTCAATGAGTCTCGGTCACCATTGAATTAAATTTCTCAAGGCATATCCTTCTGCAACCAGTGATGCTATAATTCCGAAAAATATAAAGCCCAGTTTATTATAAACTTTATTAAAACAGTACTGGGCTCTCCTTTGAATCAACCCCCAAAATGGCAGCATGGCCACATTCTGGCCATAAAATATCCAAACGACGGTGTTCGCGTATATCTAAAATACGGATTTTCTGCCAAGGAACAAATCGTGGCAAAACTAGGATTACTTGACAATATGAACATTGCGGTAGTAGTAGCAGACGATAAATACCGACAGTTTCTGCAGACGATAGTAGCAGCAGACGATAATTTTGAGCGTTTCTGCAGACGATACAAATGCTCTGACAGGGTCTCGGCGATACGTTACTTGCCGACCTGCTTCTGCGAGTGTGCCTTACCGCCGAGCATATTCCCCGCGCCGCGGATGGGGACTAAACTAGGTGCCTGGGACTCACGAGTACAATAATTAGAGGAAGTTGTAGGAGATGCGGTAGCTGCCGCTCGTGAGTCCCAGCCATCTAGTTTAGTCCCCATCCGCGCCGCGCGTAGCGGGGGATACGCTTGGCGGTGAGGCACACTCGCAGAAGCAGGCTGGCAAGTAATGTATCGCCAAGACCCTGTCAGAGCATTTGTTTTGTTATCCGGAGCCGGCACATATATTTTTTAATAGAACGGACCCGCATTTGGATAGTTTTGGATATTTTATGGCAAGAAATTGGCCAATTTAGCTCTTTCGAACGCCATCATATTAAAGCCGCCATTTCGGGGGTTGATTCAAAGGAGAGCACAGTACTCAGTACTACTAGTAGTACTAAACATGATCAAAGTTATTGATTTGATTGACTAGGAGAGGTATCATTCATACCTACCAACACAATGGAGACCTACGGTCTAGTTCAAAGTCAAAGAGAAAGAAGGACGGGTGTATTCTTATATAACAAAAGAACGAAGCTCCTCAGAACGTACCCTCTGTGCTATAGCGTGCAATACTGTTCCCTCGACACACAACACAGCCACATCTTTGCGTGTGCAGCGGCGTCTTCGTCAACACGGACGACGCCAGCGTGCCTGGTGTCCTTGACGATGATGTAAAATATCGGCACAGTTTCGCCGTATTCTGAATAGCCAGAGCTTTAGTGCTTCCAACAGAAACAAGCTTCGAAGGAATAGAAAATGCCAGCTTGAGAGCTTTGGCCATTTTTCGTTAGATCTTTTAGCTGATTCAGACAACTTGGAACAGTGTGCACCGACTGGCAATTGTTACATGCGTCTATCTGATCTGACAGAATGAGGGACAAAACAGTTTTCCATAAAAGAAGAAGTACTTCCGGGTGATTTTGTTTGAATTTAAGTTAGTTAGTTAGTTAGTTAGTTAGTTGGGTTATCATCATTGCACTCCGGACATGTCCGTAGGTGCTCAGATCCTCCCCTCAGTATGAACCCAACGTCCGATGGCTAATAGTACCAGTTCTATGTTGATTAACAAGTCGTCTGGTGTGCGTCTCGTTTTTTGCTGTGCCGATTTTAATTCCCAAGAATGCCATTCTGGCGAGTGATGTGGATTCACTGCCACCAAAGTCCTCTATCCTCATTTCTCTGAGGGCATTGATAATATCAGCATGATCCATAGGCTGACCGTCTGTAGTGATAGCGGATCCAGCCAACCTGTCAGCTTTTTCATTTCCATCGACGCCTGCGTATCCCGGAACAAAAATAAAGGTTACTCCACGCACAGTGGACTTCTGTAATGATTCAAACCATTGTCTTCTCACTGAACCTGCCTGAACCCTCCGGATCATACTCATTGAATCACTGAGTATACATACGCGAGTGTATTTTTTGTGTTTCAAGCCAGGCAAACGCTTGCGTTACTGCCATCACCTCCATCGTCATGCTGCTGGTTGACATGGAGAAGGCGCCGTTGGCTTCTTTGACTGTTCTGCCCGCTGAGCGTGCTGTAAATGCCCACGCGCTTCTTCTTTGGCGTATAACGGATCCGTCTGTATAGATTAGTGCATCTGCTTCGTCTGAATTTTCACCGATGAGAACGTTGACCTCTGCATTAACAGCAACAGGATTCTCTTTTCTACATCGCCTGTTGAGTGTGACAATACAGGAAAATGTACAAATAAACGCCTGAGGCACAGGTATCCATTCTGCACCAGGTATGATGTCGGTTAGGCTGCAAATTTGCCTAATAACATCTTCTGCCCGACCTAGCCACAATTTTCCACTCTTCAGTCTGTCGCTCTTTTCACTAGAAAGCGCTTGATGCAGTGGGTGTTTCTTATCAGCACATATTTTGAGGTATGCCCGAGCCCTCCACATCCTGATCCTTTGGTTCATTGTCGGAAAGTCAAGTAGATACCTCATTGCTCCACAGGATGTGTCTCTTGTACATCCCAAAATAAGGCGCATGGCTTCATTTTTCACCTTTTCGAGTCGTTCAATCTGGGTAGCACTGACAGTGAGGATGGCCAGAGCGTGTTCAATGGGGGAAAGGACCAGACCGTAGAATAGAAGTATTAGTAGTCTTTGCTCGATATTGGAAGCAGACATAATCCTCATTGCAGATAGACCTTTGCGTGCTTTTGTTATCACATGGTCAACGTGTTCCCTGAATGACAAGCTGCGATCGAACCTCACCCCGAGAAACGTCATAACGTTGGTTCTGATCAATACATTATCACGCATTTTCACTTCTGGTAAGTCCGACTTGACAATGTGATTGTTCAAAGAGAACCATGACACTGATGCCTTCGAAGGATTGACATAGGCATTGGAACCATCACACCAGGCGGCAATTCAATCGAGTTCTTTGTGCATTGTGCTGGCGATCTCCTGTCTATCACGCCCTCGTCGATAAATCAAAATGTCATCAGCAAATGACAAAGTCCTTCCCTTTCCATTAAACTGCTGCTCAGTGATCATCACCGTATAAACGTTGAATAAGACTGGTGATAGCGGTGATCCCTGTGGCAAGCCTGGACATATCGTTTGCGGTTCTGAGGACCAGCTACCACATCTTAGTACAATCTTTCTCTGGAACAGGACCGCAGCAATCCAGCGGATCAGAATAGGGTTGACTTCTAGTTTAAGCAGTAATCGCATTAAATAATCATATGGTACTTTATTGTAGGCATCTTCTAAGTCCAACACTGCCGCACATGTCTCTTCTTTAATCTGAAATCCCTCGTACACATCGTAGGCAAAAACTGCAGCATTGAACCATGTCTCTTTATTCAACCTGTACCCTCCAAGTGTTGATGGGAACTTATCATGTAGTTCCAAGTAGGTGGTCAATCTTTGTGCGACAATTTTTTTCCAAAAGTTTGCCAACAGTATTCTGCATCGATTCAAGTGTCATCATCATGTAGCAGGTCCTTTGCAGAACGTCGCTCTCATCACAGTCTGCCTGAAAGAAACTCGGTCTCTCGCCAGTTCTCCCGCCTCTTGTGCTTTCTTACCCAAGGAGTCACTTATATCCTGTGCCCATCTTTTTGTCGGTCGGCTCCCCCTCCTTCCTGGTACCATGCCTTCTGCTATAATTTTCTCCAATCTGTCATATCTTGAAATGACCAAAATATTTCAGATTCCGAGACAGGATGCTGTTTATTAGCCAATTTTCCTTGATGTTCAGATCTTTCAAGAAATCAGTATTTCTCCTCTTCTTTGTCCAAGATATTCTGAGAATCTTTCTATAGCATTCAGCTCAAAAGCCCATATTCTCTTTCTTAAGGACTGAGAGATAGTCCACGACTCACATCCGTATGTAGCCACAGAGAAGATGCATGCTCTCAAAATTCTAATGCTGGTGCTAAACCATAGACTTTTAAAGCTGTTCAATCTTTGCATTGCTATGGCCATCTTCCTTTTAATTTCTGTCAAACAGTCTCCATTGCTGTTTATTATAGAGCCTAGATATTCAAAGTTTGTGACATTGTAAATTTCTTCATCATTTTTTGTTATTTTTGGGTGACAGTCGGTTTTGTCTGTAGACATTATTTTCGTTTTTTTTTTAAATTCAAGAACAGATTTTGATCTTCACTGTGCTTTAGGACAGACAATATTAAATTTTCTATTCCCTTTACGCTATTCGAAAGGAGGACTGTGTCATCTGCGTAGCGAAGTTCCGGAATAGGGTTGCCACCAGTTTTGAGTTAATCATAACTTTCACAAGTCTGGTCATTTTTGGCATTTCTCATTATATTTCCTGCGTATGTATTGAATAGGCATGGTGAGAGAATGCACCCCTGCCTCACCCCCTTTCGCACCTCGAAAAAAATCCGATGTTTCACCAGCTGCTCTGATGGTTGCTTGTCGTTCATGATAAAGATGTTCAATTAAATGCACTAAATGCGCTGGAAACCCCATACTTTTCATAATAGTCTACAGTTTGTGGTGTTGGGACACAATCAAATGCCTTGCTATAATCAATAAAAACAAGCATGAAGATCTACGTTGTATTCTCTGCATTTTTCAAAATTATTCTCATATTAAAGATGTGATCCCCAGTTCCTCTACCCTGTATGAAACCCGTTTGTGCTTCATCTAGCTCATATTGTAATTTCCTTTTAATCCTTTTCATGATAATTCGTAAGAGGATTTTGCTAGCGTGACTTCTTAATGCGATGGTACGGTAGTTGGAGCATTGTTTCAGATTTCCTTTCTTTGGGAGAGGGATATAGGTTGTTCTTTTCCACGCTTTAGGCCAAATGCCACTGTTCCAGATCTTCGAGCACAGTGCATGGTCGATTCGGACGCTGGCCTATCCTCCTGCTTTAATTAGTTCTGCTGGTATTTCGTCGCAACCTGGATTCAAGTGCAGAGATGTTTATTCACCTTTCCGTCTTTTTAGATGTTTTAAAAAGAGTAGGAAATTATAGAGAGGAGAAAAAATGGGTTAAAAATAGTTTATATAAACTTTACAAAATCAATTACAATGTACAAACGAAGGCGTTGCGGCGATCAGCCTTCATCAGTTTTAGATTTACACGACGGATTGGTAGTAACCCATAAGTACTTCTAACTCAAGCCTAAGTTCGAGGAATCTCAGCGCAGTGCACGAACTTAGTTTCTCCAGCGAGGATCCTGATATACTTTCGTTACATTTTTACTTACAAATTTTGCACAGGCAGCACCGTTAGGCTACTGTTTTCGATTTCCAACTGCCAAGGGATTTTTTTTACGTGCGCAACAAAACACACGGGCGTCCGATCTCACCACCCAGAGACCAGGGAAAATTACTAGAAGTCCACGTGAAAAAGTCCCAGCCTTTACCGGGGCCTGAACCCGAGACGCCTGCCTGGAGACCACGTACGCATGCACACACACACATACACACATGCTGAACACTCAGGCAGTCAAGACAAACAAGACATGCTGCGTCGCTCACTTGTTTTCAAAAGGAAACTCTCCGTATAATTGTATTCTGAAAGATTGAACACCCAGAGGCTCAAAGAGATACAATTCGGATGAGAATCCAACAAGAACAAAATACAGAAATCCCATTTAACCATGTGACAGTTATACGTCAGGTACCCAACGGTTGCAACATAACATGGGGAGGTGTGGGAGGGGGGGGGGGGGGGGTCATCAAACGAACATTACCAATACTTTGGACCGGATCAAATCTAGACAAGACTGCAAACATAGCTACAGTGTTTACATTCAGTTGTATTCAGTGTGTAGTATGTCAGCTGATAAACCGGGATAAATTAGTTACTTCTGCCGTGTCCCGCGTGATTTATAAGGACCAAAGTGTTCCTCAAATGTCGTCATATTCTTTTTTTAACTTGTTACTGAAACCTACTTTGGTTTAAGGGTCAGTTACAGAAGTTGTTTGTTACAAGCGCTAATATTTGTGTTTAGTGATATTAACGCATTATCAACGTATACATTCTGAAGTGGCGAGATAAGGATAGCTGGGCAAATAGCTCTTATCAGCGACACAAGGTTGAAACAAACCTTGTTTAAGATATTCAGTCCTTATTGTCTGTGGCATATATACAACTAAATTCAAAACGAACTTCTAGCTGTGTCACACCATCATGGAGATTAATAAGCATCCATGTAAGTATAACTGATATTTACAATTTGCAGCAATCAACTTAAAATGCCAGAAACCTCCGAAAATCACACCAAAATATATTTCGCCCAACGTGGGGCTCGAACCCACGACCCTGAGATTAAGAGTCTCATGCTCTACCGACTGAGCTAGCCAGGCGCACATCCACCCGTCTGCCGTCATCACTAAATGTGTCTTAGGCCCTTGGTCAACTTTTTCTATCAATTATTAACTTTTTCCCGCGCCGCTTTGGTTCCTTTTTAATACTAAACTGAATACAACACGGAATACTATACTCAATACTACAATTAAAAATTATACTGAATATTAGACTAAAAACTACATTGTCTACTATACTGAATACTACACAGAATAGTATACTGAATACTTAACACCACACTGAATACTTGCGCCGCTTTGCTTCTTTACTAATACTACACTGAATACAACACGGAATACTATGCTCAATACTGCATTAAATACTATACTGAATATTATACTGAATACTACACTAAAAACTACTTTGACTACTATACTGAATACTACACAGAATAGTATGCTGAATTCCCTAACACCACACCGAATACCACATTGAATAATACACTGAATACTACACAGACAATTAAAGTGAATACTTAACACTGCAATGAATAGCACACCGAATAATACACTGAATACAATACTGAATACTACACTGAACACTATACTAAACCGTATACTGAATACTTTAACTTAACACTACACTGAACACTATATTTAACACTATACTGAATACTACACTGAATGTGTAATACTACACTGAACACTACACTACTACAGTGAATACTACGAACACACACACACACACACACACACACACACACACACACACACACACACACACACACACACACACATATATATATATATATATATATATATATATATATATATATATATATATATATATATATATATATATATATATATACCAGGTCAATCGAGCAATTACAAACCTAAAGTAAGAAATTGCTGAGTTGGTATGCGGGCATACAAACTGCTTTGCCAACAGGACCCAGTATTATAATGTAGTTTTTTTTTTTTTAATATTAGTTTTTAATTTACGCCTCAAACCTTCTAAAACTAAAATGACTCAAAGAGCCACTAATCGGATGCTAATTTCAGAGGAGAAAATCCCAGAAACCTTCTTTGACGATATAAAACGGTTTTTTGGGAGCATGGTTACAAAGTAACATGTAGTCCAATCAATGTGGTTAGTGAGGCTTGCCTCTTGAACATAGGGCTGCGCATAAGGCAGAGGTCATAGCGCTAAATGTCTGGCGGTTCATTGCCATCTGTTTTACGCCTTGAAAATTAATTAGGCATTTGGTTGAGCCATGACCGTCTCCAGTAACTGGAGACGTTCATAGTTGAGCCTTCCCTGATGATGATTCAACGCGGGGTCTCTCTTGGCCTTCCCTTTTTTCGTTTCCTTTCCTGTTTAGGTTTTAGGTTGGGGCGACGGATCATGAAGTTTGAACAACGAATCAACATCATGGCACACGGGTAGTAACCCATAAGGGCTCCGTTCTACTTTTAACTCAAGTCTGAGTCCAAAGAATCTCATCGCAGTGCACGAGCTCCGGAGCACCGGCGAGGATCCTGAAATACTTTGAGGAGATTTTCAACTCAAAATTTTGCACGGGCAGCGTTGCTAGGCTACCCTTTTTAACGGCCAAGGGATTTTTACGTGCGCAACAATACACATAGGCGTCAGATCTTACTATCTAGAGAGCAGGGGAAATTACTAGAAGTCCACGTGTAAAAAATCCCAGCCTTAACCGGGGCTTGAACCCAGGACCTCCAGCACTCGAGGCGGACGCCCATATAAGGGCTTGATGGGGAGGGGCGGGGTGGGTGAGTCTGGGCTGACGTATTCTGAGCGCATGGCCGATGTAGTTCCAGCTGTTCTTTCTCTGCATGAATTATTTGTCTTGGTCCCCTGTCTTATTTAATAACTGGATCTAAACTCAACTGGGTGGGGGTGTACAATTTAATTTATATTTACTTGTCCTGTATATGTTCAATCTCGTCATCCTTTGTGGGATGCAATTTTTAGTTATTTTGAAGCCCCACCCTGGCTTTTGCCGGGGACCCTAAATATAACCGGGTAATCCTCATCCGGATGGTGGCACTTTGTGACACCGGGTGTTTATCGCTTGTGTGAAGTACTGGTGGGGTGCAACTTACATACATTCATATTTGTCCTGACTTTTATTATTTTACCCCTCCCCCCCCCCCCCCCCAGTTAAGCATAGGATCTCAACAAACTCACATTATACATCGTCCTATCCTTTTCTATTGCATGCAGCTCAACCCACGCCATCATCTGTTTAACCACACTTTCTAGTTCCCTTCACCATACAATGGTTGGTCAGTTTCTGTGGATTTGTATTTTCTTTAGTTTGTGTGCTAACCAAACCCAAACCCGACTGTCCTGAATCGTCAGATACGTCATATCTAGTAGGGTACTGGTTACTATTTCTTTGCTTCCCATGAGGATGCCGGTAACACACGAACAAACTTGTCTTTTACTGGGTTTTTTTTTTTTTAAAACAAAAGAAATGTCTGATTAAGCACCTTAAATAACAGTTATAAGACAAAGAAGATGGCGCTATAATGGACATCATGAGAAAAAACTAGCAGAGAATCACCAAATAGACACAAACGGGAAAATAAAGGGACTGGGGAAGGGAGAACGCCCAAAGAAACCCTGAAATGGAGGCAGGCGGGAGAGGCCAACGATACTGGACTGGATTCCATACGTGATTTGGATATTGATTGCACATGATATAATGGAATTGACAGTGAGCCACATGTGACATAAAATAGCACAGAATGACAGTGGGTGACGGAATTAATGTATAGTATTATTAATTGCTGATTTTATTCCTCACGGTTTTTGTCTCGTCTCTCCCCCCCTCCCCCCTTTTTCAGTATCTTAAAATCTTCTCCTTCTTCGCGTTCACCGGCTATAAACTTCGGCGGAAAGTTCTGGTTGTTACGTTTTACAGACCTGTCTTATTTTTATGTAGACTGTTTGTTCCTTGCCTCTCAGGCAGACACACACACTCTGACTTCGAAGGAAACGCACAATTAGTCGACTCTTACGACATGCTTGTTGGGAAGGCAGTGGGTCTATTCTTGTTTTCCCCACAATGGGGCCCCGGAATCCATACGAGGAAAGATTTAAAATATTTAATTTCTTCATTTCTCTCCTACAGCTTATGACCAGCCACCGCTTCAAGACTACCCCAGCGAGGACGTGTTCAACGAACTTCTGCCGCCACCATACACAGATGAGGAACCACCCGCATATTCTACAGTCGTTGAAAGTAGCAGCACCGCCTATACCACTGCTCCTGTAAGTCTGGATTATATGTCTAAACTTCCCTACGGAGATTCGGTAAACTCCAGTCACCAATCGCCTCTAGAAAGGCAAAGCTACTACCAAGAACCTTTCGGTCCGCAAATGTCTTTTCAACAGTTTTCTAATCAGGAAACTTTCAATCCTCAAATCACGAGCCCTATCGTAAGCGCCCCAGATTTCCCACAAGAAACCACCAGATATTCTTCAAACCTGCTGCCTGGACCTCAGCGCACCACTTCCATAACTCCACACAAAGACCTTCTTCAGCCAACACCTTCTCGCTTAATCGAAACAAAGAAGACAAGACGCGGAAACATTAAATCCCACATCAAAGATCTTGAAACTGGAAAGGAATATTTTATCAAGGAAAAGATCAGCAAGGGTGGCAATCGCAGCAAAACGGTGGTCAAGGAAGTTGGAGGTCCTAAAACAGTAGTCAGGGAAACACCTAAACGAACCATTGTTTGTCAAAAGAAGAAATAAGAAATGTCCACATCATAGTGTGCCAACCGGCCTCTGAAAAGCAAAAGAAGAATACGATGATGTAAGCGGGTGATATAGTTTTAGGCTCGGCAGAACTCGGATCATCCAAATGCATTGCCTATTATAATTTTATCTGTAATCTTTATTAAAAAGAGTATTGAAGACATGTTGAAAGAGACAGACTCACGAAGAGAACTGATTGCCAACATCAGAAAGAGACAATCTTCTTTAGTCATGTGACGAGAAGGAGAAAACTGGAGTACATCGTGACAGCAGGACAGTTGGAGGTGAGGAGAGGCAGAGGGAGACCGAAAGAATAGATGCTGGACAGTTAAACGTATTGCATCGAAGATCATCTGTGTCAGAGCTAACTGAAAGTACAAGAGACAGGATCTCTTTTCTTTTGTGCCATTAGTGATTAGTGATTAGAAAGAATTATCATCACAGCATTCCGAACAGATCCATAGGCTCTCCGATCTCCTCCTCAAAAGCTCCATAAGTGTAAAACGACTGATGACACCTGTTTTGTGTTGGTTGATAAAACGTCTTGTCCACTTAGTGAAATGTTTATTTTTTGCAGCTCCAGGCTGCACCCCTATGTCCATCAGTCTAGACGGGGATACGGAGTCATGTCCTTTGGCGTGCTCTTCGGTACGGTAAGTGCAGCGCATGGCATTGATAACATCACTTCTGTCCAGTACTGGACTAACCATTGCTACAGCAGTGTCAGCAAGATAGTCTGCACGCTCGTTTCCTTGAACCCCTGCATGACTTGGCACAAGGATGAAGGTTAGAGAAGATATTCGTGAAGTGCTTAGTGTTGCAATTCATTCTTGTTTGATAATCCAGCTTGAATTTTTTTTAAAGCATATTCATCCATCCACACTTCCGTGGGCAATCAATCAATTCTCTTCTTGTGCCATTATATGTCTCAATGGGCTCGCGGTATTTTCTTCCAGTCAGGTCTTTCCTGTACAGTCAGTTCAATATCATTGACGGAATCCAGCTTTGGCCTCTCACAAGTGTCCCTTTTAGGGTTTATTTTGGCCTTCTTAATCCCATTATTTCCAATTTTAGAGTTATTATAACTTGCGGAAGAAATAAAGAAAGAAAGAAAACAGAAGTAAATAAAAACTAATGAACTACTAGGTTATATCCTATAAGATGCAATTTTTCGTTATTTGGCTTTTGTTGGGGGTCCTGTTTATAGCTGGGCGACATTTATGACCCTAACGGCTGAAAGGGGTTTCTAGGACCTCTCCACTTGTGATCCTCATCCACATGGTGGCACTTTGTGTCATCGCGTGTTTATCGCTTGTGTAATGTGATGGTGGGGTGCAACAATCAAGCAAGCAACAAACAAAGCATATTATCAAAGGTTTTGCATTCATTTATGTTCTGCTGTTGTATCCTAGATTTTTTAAAGTTAAACGTTGACACTGCTCTGGCCCCAGTGGTTTTCATCTGGGAACGCGCACCTGAGAAGGCGTCCCCCCCTCCCCCCCCACCCCCCCCCCCACCCCCCCCCCCCCAAAAAAAAGTTTCTTAAAGGGAGTGATCAAACAATTTCAAAATGTATACATTTATAATGGTTGATAATTAGCGGTTCGAACCAAGAAGTGGTTGAAATCCTCGGTAAGGCTTTGGATTTTTTTTTTCTCTTGGGGGACAAATTTAAAATCTTCACCTATACATATTTTTTTTTTCAATTCGGGGACAAAAATTAAAATCTTTACCTACAAGATTTGTGGCGACAACACTATCCATGCGACCTTAAATTCTTAGGTTGAAAGATCCCGCTGCCTACACCGCAAAATTTGTATAATAAAGGCAGAAATGTGCAGTTGTTTTTAACATACAAAATTATTAATCTGTTATACTACCTTTTTTCCAGTTTTAGATGAAACAAAATATTTGTAAAACTATTTATATATATATATATATATATATATATATATATATATATATATATAAAAGACGCATTTTTTGCTCATTAGCAGTTTGTACATTTACCGTTAAAATTTTAATTAATACAATAAGACGTGTATTTATTAAAGTTAAGAACGCATTCTGACCAAAACGTGTCTCCATATTTTGTTAATCGTCTCCTTTAACGCTACTCTTTTTTAATTGTGTGTGTGTGTGTGTGCGCGCGCGCGTGTGTGTGTGTGTGTGTGTGTGTGTGTTTTGAGTTGGGCGCAACCAGTATGCCACAGACGCCGACATTCAAAGTGGGTGCCACCTGAATAATGTTGAAAACCACAACTATAACCTGACTTCAATCAAACAGGCTTCATTACAATGAATTAGGAAGTTAAGACACTGAAAGGGTAATGATTGGCATGTAATAACATATAAAATAAAATTAATACAACAATGCATACACATTATACACATTTTTTTTTTTTTTTTTTAAGTTTTATTGTAACTCTTGGTAATTTTATATGTAAGATGACCTGTAAATACATTCCTTATAGTCGATGTGTCTCGTATATTGAAGATATAACACTCGCAAATGCGTGTACGCAAGTATGGCGTTTTTTAATGTGTGAGAGTTGTCAAACATAGGTATAACTAAGTAATCGGTTTTTTTTTAAAGTCTGGTGCTTCGGTATACGTTCGCGTTTGTATTTTTGGTATACGTTCAATTTTGTGTGCGTCCTGTTTAAACTTATGTTTGGTATACGACCTTTGTTTAGAAAACGAATTGTATGAGTCAAAATTATTCATGAGACAAAGCCACGGATAGATATAAGTGATCTTGCAGAGACGTATCGTCGCTAACAAAGCCTAAAAGAACCATAATAGCATTACCAAGATTGACAACGTCAAGTTTCCGAAACACCATGTGGAGAAGCCAGAAGCAAAGTTCCTTAGACATATTTGTTTTAGCAAAAGTCATCCCGATTAACCTCACCCAGGTCACAGTAGCAAAAAGAGGCAGAGAGAGAGAGAGAGAGAGAGAGAGAGAGAGAGAGAGAGAGAGAGAGAGAGAGAGAGAGTTAGCAAGAACACAAGGGTACTCGCCCGCACGGCGAGAGTTCCTTCCCCTCCCATTCATGTCGAGGTCCCAGGGCCTGTCCCATGTTGTTGTGGTGTCATCTATTCCTTATTTTCCACAGTGTAACTGTTCTCTCTGTTCTGTGTTCTAACCGCTCATTTGCCTGATTATTTCCACGTTGTGCTACTTGTCCGACGGTACGTGAGAATCAAAACTGGGATGTTTTTGTATTTAAAAGTTCCTTGTCAGTGGCTTCTTTTTTTCTGAGCGCGGGGAGTAGTGGGGGTGGGGGGTGGGGGGTGGGTGGGGGGGGTGGGTGGGTGGGGGTGGGGGAGTTACAGAGAGGACACCGCCAAAGAATGTAAAAATATAACAGATATCCCAGTTTCAATAAGCAAGAACAGTAGCAGCTTCAACGCTCCACCGTACAAAGGAGCCTGCGGCCCCTCAGACCAACAGACTCACGACAACACAACCTCCCACAAACATTATATACTGCGAGAGAACGCTGCACGAAGGCAGGAACAAACCACAGATCTACCAGCCACTATCTTTTCCAGAAGTCAAAACTTTCATTGAGAGAAAATCAGAAACAGATTGGAAAACAAACACTGTTTATAACCATGGAAAAGAATTTCTCAAACATCTGAACAGAACAGACCAAGTCATAGTTTCTTGCTTACGCCCTGGACACTACAGACTCAACAACCACTCGTATAAATTAGGTATGAGCCGGACCGCACTCTGTCAGTGTCCTCGTGCTGAACAGACTCCAGAACATGTCTTACAAGACTACTCTCTTCGGAGCTGCGCAGCAACATGTGGTCACACCCAGTAGAACTGACAACTAAGCTTTCGGAAAACCTAAGAGACCTTGAGATGACATTCCAGTTTATGGCCCACAGTGGATTATGCGCATGACCACAGATCGCTAAAGAAGAAGATGAGATGTCTTCCTTCACCGTTTATACACAGCGTGCAGAAAAGTGTCTCGGGTTTGTTTGACGCGGTCGACACACTGTCTCCCAATCAAAAGTGCCCCACTTTCCTTTCGCAACTCACTTGTCTGTGAACAATTGTGGTTTATGGAATTTGTTGCTGCTGTGAGTAGGTCTCAGTCGCCGAAGGCGCCTGTATGCAATGAAGAAGTACAGCAGTGGACAGCGCCTAAGGCGAGACGATTCGAGAGTATCGAATCCTGTATGTTTTTCCGGTCAAAATGGACGCTAGGCACGGGGACTGTTTAGAGCCGAGGCACATTTTTTGCTTCTGCCAGACGGTGGCAGTTGCATTTTTGCTCCATTTGTAGACTGAGAGGATATAACTTCGTCGCCCAGCTTTTGAGTTGAATGCATAGCGTGACACTGTGAGCTGCGGATTTCATTTCGAAAATTTTTTCGACCGTTACCAACGTGGTAATGTGAATTGTAGATTCGAAAAATGGCGCGATGCCCGTTGTCACAATATTGGTGTTGCCCTTATGTGATTAAAATTGATTGCGTGTGCAACTGCTGATCTTTTGGTGACTTCTGCTACCACCAATGATGAACTGCATTTCTAATGTCGGACTTTTGTGTTGGCACTTCGGATGGCTGCCTATGCTTTTAATGCGTTTATATGCTAGATTTGCTGAGACAGCAGCCTGTCAATCTTTCCACAAGGGACTGCGACGAACATTCTGTGTGTTTTTCGTTGGTACAGGAGCGGAGCAGCTATGGGGTGACCCGTTTGCTATGAAGCTGAAACTAAGACTATCAGACTGTATGTTTTTGTATTTTACGCGGGCGCTGTCGTCGATAGTGGATGTGCTTAAAACGTTCAAAACGAGGAACATATGACACCCCAAGACCTTAGGAGTGTCCCGGGAAATCTCGCGGCTGACTATATGGGGTGACTTTAGTGAGTTGTACTGTTTCTATAGTGTTTCTTGTACTCCCTCCACTCACTTAAAAAAAAATGTAATACGCGTTAGCCTGATTCTGGTCCATTCTGACAAGAT